ACCCTACACTCAGACTGATTTTTAGTCTTCACAGGCACAGGATTACGACGGATATCCTACCGGCTGCGCCAGTCAAATCGCGACGGTATTTAAAGGTTTTTTTAAAAAGTAAACTTTATTAAAGAATATTACACTTGGTATTCTTAACTATTTATTTTATTTATTTATTTATTGTATTTTAGGAAGATTTACAGTATTTTAACAGAAGGTAAATTATGATTACAATAAAATAAAGTCAGTACTAATTACAAATCTCCACCTATAGATAATCCATAAATACCTTTAGGAGATAGGAGGGATAAAATTAACAATCATGAATTTATAATACTATGAAACAATTAAAGAACTTAAGTAAATGAAAAATTAAGTATGACTATTCTAATGGAAATAGCTGGATGTGAGTGTGCGTCTCACAGAGTCAATGGAAGAAAAGAATAGATCGATGTCAAGCTGGGTTGAATACTGGTTGTAGGTCTGTACACTTCGAATCAAGAATGTATTTTTCCTATAGTTGGTATTAAATGGAGGCATTTTGAAAATAGGGCGATGTCTGAACCATAATAAGTCAGTTCGCAAGTTGAGCTTTGCTAACATCTCCGGACAATCAACGAATCCCCTAACAATCTGTAATAAATAGCAGACATCGGAAATATTCCTTCGATTTTCAAGGGGCAAAAAATGGTAGCGTTGACAACGGTGATGGTAACCATCAGAATGCTGGTGGGCCTTAAAGTCGAGAAAACGAAGGAAGCGTCGCTGGATATTTTCGAGACGAGCCTTGTATTCCTGGTATTGAGGATTCCAGACTTGTGAGGCGTACTCTAGGTGACTACGCACAAAAGAACAATATAATATTTTAATAGTTTTTAAATGTTTGAAGACAGCTGATGTTCTAATGATAAAACCCAAGGATTTAGAGGCTTTGGAAACTACACTATCAATGTGTCTATCAAATAGCAATTTATTGTCATGGATGACCCCAAGATCCTTAACTTCTACCAGTCTAGAAATTGACTGATTATAGAAGGTGAGATTAACTATCAATGGACTAGGTTTACGGCTAAAACTAATGTGATGACATTTAGACACATTGAGTTCCAACTTGTTTAGGACACAATAATGCTCAAACCTATTCAAATCGGCTTGCAGTAGGTTAATGTCATCCGTGTTATGCACAAACTTAAAGATTTTCATATCATCGGCAAACAGTAATATTTTAGAATTAAGGAAACAATCACCCACATCCAATGTGAACAGAATAAACATTAAAGGGCCCAAGATCGATCCCTGAGGAACTCCTGAAGGAATGGAGACCCAATTAGACAAGAATCCTTGCAGTACAACAGCCTGACAGCGATTATCTATGTAGGATGCGAACCATCTGAACAGGTCACCGTGGATACCTGCAGCCAATAATTTGCATAAAAGAACACTGTGATCAATTCTATCAAAACATTTAGTATAGTCCGTGTATATCACTTCCACTTGACCACCACTGTCCATTCCCTCAGTAATAAAATCGTTAGCTATTATTAGGTTCGAGACGGTTGATCTGCTTCTGAGAAAACCATGTTGTTCCACCCCGAAAGAAGGTTTAAGCGCCACATATAGATCATTGTGAACAAGTTTTTCAAGAATTTTAGCGAATAAACATAATTTAGAAATCGGGCGGTAATTCTCAACATTAGATCTATCGCCCTTCTTGAATACAGGTGTAATATAAGCTCTCTTCCATATCTTCGGGACTATGCCTTCTGAGAGAGAACGCTGAAATATAATGGTCAAGGGTAATATCAAGCCAGACGCACAGTTGACTATAAAGACTGGGGGCAAGAGATCAGGACCACCACCCTTACTTAAATCTAATTTACGAATCAGTTTCTCGACCTTCGCATGTGTAACTGACACAGTAGAGATGCTAACGGTACTAGTACAACTAACAGGACTATTATTAACATTAACAGTGTCATTAGGTTTTAGAAAATTAGACTCAAAATAACTTGAAAACAGGTTAGAAATACCTAAACCAGAATCTGCAGTAGCACCAGTTGTTTTGTAGCACATAAAATTGGGATAAGAATTGGACAATTTTTTGGATTTAACATACGACCAAAAGGTACGAGGATCGCGAACTATAGAAGCCTCAATTCTGTCTATATATACCTCAAAGCACTTCTTTTCTACTGTGATTGCCCTTTCACGCAGAGTTGAGAATGATAAGTAATCCGCAATGTTACCATAAATTTTGTACTTACTGTGATATTTATACTTTTCCTTTAGTATTTTGACTAGAGCAGAACTATACCATGGTGGATACAAACATTTTGATACAAGTTTGGACGGAATAAACTTATCACGTAGCTCATAAAGTTTATCATATAGTAAAGTCAGTGCTTCGTCTACAGTACAGTTAAACAAACAAGAATGCCAGTCTATCGAATTGAGAACTGATGTTATAGAATTAAAGTCAGCGCGGTTATATAAAAATTTTAAGGTTTTATCTTGTTCTAGAGTATGTATTTCAACAAATTCTATATCTAAAATTAATGATTTATGATGTTCATCTTCTGAAACCAAGGGTGACATACACGCTTGAACATTCACAGGTGAGTTAGAGAATATAAGATCCAGTATTCTTTGATTAATATTTGATTGTGCGTTATATTGACTAAGATTACAAGTATTAATAATATCAAGGAAATTTTTGAGATAATCAGATTTGTATTCGATAGGTAACAATTCAGTAGACCCCTCAGACCTAACCCAATTGATGTCATCCTTGAAATTAAAATCACCTGTTACAAGAAATACGTCCGAGGGGTGGCAATACTAGTTCACCTAATTTATTCGAAAAATTTAACACCTGTGTTTTATAAGAATTACCGCTTCCATCATTACACAAATAAACCGTACATAAATGTATATTATAGTTTATAGAAGGGTTCCTACGTTTCAAAGTGATTGTCACCCAAATGTCCTCTGCTGAGCTCCTCCACTCCGACCGCTCAACAACCATAAGATCTTTCCGCACCGCTAACAATACTCCTCCACCTAGTTTCTGCGCTGTGCGCGCATAATCACGATCTCGTCTCCATATTATGTAACGAGAATCAAATAATTCACTGCTTAAAATACTGTCAAGAAGCCATGTTTCAGTGATTGCAATAAAATCATAATTATTTAACAATATGTTAGCCAGAAATACGTTCGTTTTAGTGCGCAGCCCTCGAGCATTCTGATAGTAACCAATAAGACTTTTGAACTTAATCATTGAAGAAACAGATAATAAAAACAATATATTTACCTATACATATCGAAGCATTCATATAGGATAGACAAAGCAACATAACCAATAAATACACCGACTCGCCATTCAAGCAGACTAAAATAAGTACAATTCTATTCAATAAATATTTTTCGTTAGCGAGACAATAGATATACTTAAATGCCGTAAGCAACGTCTTGGAATAATAAATAATCGATCTTATATAAATAGCGTTAGAATCATTACTGGTATGCACTCCATTAGCAGATAAGCAAAAGCAATTCAAACCTGTTTCGATAGTCAACCCACAACACAGAACAATGAATGAGAAAAAAACCGTACCATGCCGTACCATCGCACACTCACCGCCAGCTGTTCTCAACATGTTAAATGCAGAGAAAAATAAATGTAATAAGACTTTATGAATAACAATAAAAATGATAAGGATTATATTATTTTGGAAATGTCTTTTACATTGCGGATATAAATTATTGGTGAAGTGTTGTCCTTCCGTATATGAATTACAGCTCTCTTCACCCATATGTATTGAAAATTATGATCTTTGGCTACCTTGCGAGCTTTGTTCAGCAGATCTTTGTTTTTGGGAGTGAGGTGGTCGTTTATAAATATTTTATGATTGCCATTAAAGCCCAGATTGGCACATGTTATAGACGATTTTGATCTGGCTAGGTCCTTGGCTTTGGTTCTTGCTGCCGCGATGAAATCTTCCTTGGCGTAACGGTTTAAGAAGCACAATATAATTGGCTTTGGTTGAGTACTATCTCGCACTGGCACGCGAGTAACAAAGTTGATTTGATTTTTCTGGACCGTATAGTTTATTAAATGACCAATAGAATTAACTATATCGTGTAAGTTTTCCTTGTCCCTCTGAGGAACTCCTTTAATCTCGACATTATTAATTCGTGACCATTGCTCGTTATCGTCCGCTTCGCTCTCCAGCTTATCCAGCCTAGTTTGGATAGTACTATACTGTTCTACGACGTTCTGATTGTCAGACTCAACCTTGGACAGACGGGATTCAAAATTCTCTATTTTAGTTTTGAACTCACCGACGACTCCATTCATTTCACTGAAAGAGGACTTCAGCTCCGATAATTCCTTTCTGAGTGATTTGACATCTTCTACCAAAGATTCTAAAGGGGCGAGTTTTAAGGAAACAGCTCTAATTTCCTCCAGAATAGTCGACTCAACAGGCTTCTTCACTAGAGGTGATGTAGAGGCGGATGTCGAGACTGCTTGAGGTTGCGCAGAGATTTTACAATTGGCACAGCACCAAGTGAATCTTCTATCACCTAGTCTCCGATATCCTACCTCAGTAATGCCTCCACACTGAAAGTGAAATTCCAACTTGCAGACAGAGCAGGAAGCTCCGTCCCTGATCTCCTCTCCACAGCTACCACACAAGTTAGACATATCGTAAAGTAGATAGCGACGATTGAGAATCACTGTAACTAGTATTAAATCCGAAAGGTATGATTCACTAACAATGTATACGTCCGCACGCCGCAACGCTTGACGAGAAGTAAGAACTATAGTCGATGTTAGATTCTAATTCTAAGGTGGTCGATGTTAGACCCTAATTCTAAGGTGGTCGATGCAAGACCCTATTACTACGGTGGTCGATATTAGACTGGCTTTAATATAATTCTATTCTTACTGCTAAAAACCCTTACATGATAACTAAGCATTCGTGGTACATGATATAATAATAAAACTAAGCATTCATTGTAGTGATTGCATTAACGCTTATGGTGCGTTCTGGGTATATGTGTGACATTGTAACTACATACAGAGCTACAATAGTTTTTCTATTACCAACAATTTTAATATACAAACATGGCTCCATTTTTGACTTTATATAACCATCAACTAACATACAAGAATCTACCTTCTTATGCCAAGCCCGGGATGCCTGCTTGAGACCATATATAGCCTTTTTTAATTTAAGCACCTTACTATTATCTGAACAGGCATAACCAGCCGGTTTCTGCATATATATTGTCTCAGCCAGGTCCCCATTCAAGAAAGCGGTTTTTACATCAAGGTGAGTAACTTCTAGATTCAACTGTACTGACAATGCAAAAAGTAATCTAAGTGTTGTATGCCGCACAACAGGGGAAAAAGTTTCACTGTAGTCCACTCCGTACTTTTGAGAACACCCCTTAGCTACAAGCCTAGCTCTATAACGCACATTATTTTCTGAATCACACTTCTTTTTAAGAACCCACTTGCACTTCACTATAGTTTCACCATTCATAGGCCTATTTACCAACTCCCAAGCATTGTTGTCCTTAAAACACTGAAGTTCTTCTTTTACCGCTGACAACCACTGGTCCTTTTCTTCTCCTTGTAAAGCCTCTTTCTTCTATTGACAAAACATTGGCATCATCAAACTCCTCAGGGACACACATATTAGTCACTTTGTACTTTTCTGGGTTTTTCTTTATCCTGGTAGACTTGGGACGTGCCGGCAAATCAGAAGCATCTTCGTAATCACTTGATATATAGTCTTCATCCAATAAACCTAGTGTTTCATCAGTTATTGTGGTTTCATCCGCACTGGTGACATTTTCTAAGGTTGATACCTCCTTATCCTCTATGTCTCCCACTGAACATGAGTTTTCTTTTCTCTCACTCTCAATAACTGGGATAGTGATATCTGGATGTTTATCCTTTTCCATGACAATGACCTCTCGGCTAGTTGTGATACACTTTGTCCTTGGATTATATATCCTGTATCCTTTGATACCATCAGGATATCCGACAAGAATGTGTTTTTCAGCTTTCTTGTCCCATTTCTGACGTCTTGCCTTTGCCACATGTACCATCACACTGCTACCGAAGATCCTGAGATGGCTCACATTTGGTTTATGACCAAACCAGACTTCATATGGAGTCTTATCATTCAATGATGGAAGTACTGTTCTATTCTGTAGGTACACAGCAGTATGTGTCGCCTCTGCCCAGAACTCTTTCCCTAACTTCGCATCAAACAATAAGCATCTTGCTTTTTCCACCACAGTACGATTATTCAGTTCCGATACACCATTCTGCTCGGGTGTGTACGGATTACTTCTTTGGTGTATAATACCTTCATTCTTGAGAAGTGAGTCAAATTCCTTATTGCAGTACTCACACCCATTATCGCTTCTCAAGATTTTAATTTTCTTGCTCGTTTAAGCAAACGAGCAAGAAAATTAAAATCTTAGTAAATTAAAAGCAAGTAAATTAATATCAAAGCCAAAGTGGAGAAGCCTCCACTTTGGCTTTATATTCTGCAAAGCATCTGAGCGCTTCACTTTTATGCTTTAAGAAGTACACTGCTATCATTCGGCTGAAGTCGTCAATGAACAAGATAAAAACCTCGAGCCTCCCAACGATTCATGCTCCATTGGTCCACAAATGTCAGTGTGTACCAAACCTAGCAACTCATTGCATCTAGAACCACTTGGGAATGGCAGACGACACTGTTTGCCCTCACAGCATACAGGACAAGATGACTTATTTATGTCAACTTTTTCTTGGAGATCCATTCCTTCCAAAGCAATTGACATTTTATTTAAATAAGTGCTATTGACATGGCCTAGTCTTCTGTGCCAGACATCTCCTGACACTGCTAAACTTGTCACTTCACTGTCAGCAAGTCTCACCCTGTACACTCCGTTACTGAGCACAGCCATAGCCACCATTTCATTATTTCTGTTGAACACGTTACAGCCTTCTGACGTAAATTGAACTCTGTTACCAGTCTCGATCAATTGGCTTACTGACAATAAATTTGTTGTCAATCCTGGAGCACACATAACATCTTTCACTGGTATCTCATATTCAAATTGATCAGTTTTAGTCACAATATTTACGTCGCCGGAACATAATACTTGAAGTTTCTCGTTGTTTGCAACACATATCTCCCGCATATCGTGGTATGTTGCATCCTTTATCCACTTTTCATTGGCCGTCAAGTGCATACTCGCGCCAGAGTCGATGTACCAGTCGTACTTGTTGAATTGGCCACTCAAAAATACTACACTGAATGCATTACTCTGTTTACGTTGCAATTCTTTCGAATGATTACTTGAATTATCATTATTTGGGCATTGATTCTTGTAGTGACCCGTTTGTTTACACCGGTAACATTTGACATGACTTTTGGCACCACCACTGACACTGACATTTGACTTAGCTTGACTTTGCGCACCGGCTGACACATTTTTATTTTTCTTAGGTTGCCACTTCTGCGCGCCACTTGCAAATGCCCCACCAATTTCACTGGATTGAGAACCCACTTCCGTTTCCATATCCATCAGCTTGGTTCTAATGGCGTCCGTTGTTATTTGGATACCTGAATGCTCAATGGCCATGATCATCGGCATGAATTTCTCCGTCAATCCAGCTAGTAAAAGACAGCCGATCCACTCGTCACTTATTTTAAAACCTGTCCCGCTCAACTTTTGACCTGTCTCGACGATCTGCGTGACGTACGCCTGCATGGAAGCACAGTTTTCCAACCGTATTGAAATAAGGTTTCGCAAAAGAGATATTCTTCGCGAAAATCCGGAATCATCAAATAATGACTTAAGCTTGTTCCAAAGTTCTGACGATGTTTTGACTTCCTTGATATGCACGTACAAGGCGCTGTCTATAGTCATGATAAGCTTTGCCTTTGTTTTCGCACCATATCCTCCAGGACTAGAAAATTCTCTGCTGCGAAAACCCATTCTGAGTAATTTTCTCTGCCTTTCAGTTTGGGAACGTTGACTAGGTAATTCGATGCCATCCTCGTTAGTTAACTTACTACGATACTTATTATAACTTCAATAAGTCCGAAACTTACTTCTCGACACAAAATTACTGCTTTTAACAAAAGTATAGAGGTGCGCTGGGCCCATAACCTTAAATGAAACGCAATCACTTGCAGTGACAAAGAACGACTAATTTATTCAAACACATCACAGATACAATAGACCACAGTATTACATTTTGACATAACTGTCATTAGATGGCGTTACTTGTACCATTTCTATATTTTGATACTTTCAACACTTACACATAAAATACCTGCTAATTAAAATACTGTCCTAGTCATACACATTTTGCAAAGTATTACTGCAAAGTTTCATGATTCTATCTCAAGTGATTACAAAAATATAAATAATTGAACTTTGCATCGCTCTCCTGTAAAGTTGCCGTTTTGCAGATCCGACTTTGTTAATAGTCATTGGCGAAATAAGTTAGCTTACCGGCACTTCCATTATTATTATCAGTTTTTTTCTCTCTCAACTGTACACCGGAGCAATGAACTGTGTTTTGTCGTAATTCTTCTAAAAACCGTCGTCTTTTTGCTGCTATTATCGTCCGATAGTCAATAAATGCAATTCAGTTCAATACATGCACTGCGCACGTGCAACAAACCACATAAACAAACCAAATAACTCGGTCAAGGACACCGGAATGATGCGGAAGTGCGGCGTCAGATCACTCAGTCGTACAAATTAGCAATAAACAAAACTAATGACATCTTTTTCTGACGTATCGCTTTGTCTCATTGAACGCATAACGGTTGAAAAATCAATCATTGATATATCTACTTGTCACATAATACCGTGCACCTTTGAAGCGGTAATAACTTGACATCTCGTTGTATGAAGTTGAAAATGCAAGTAGTCGAATGTGAACAATTAAATATCTCAAGGTGTTAGGTTTAAAGACTTTATTTTCTCAAAAAGACAAAAAATGTCACTTACATGAGAATAATACTCTAGATTAATATAACATTGTAGTCGTTCTTAAAATAATCACAATAAAATATAGCCGTACATGCAACTTAAAAATAAAAGTAACCAAAGAAATATGAATTAAAAGTAATTATAAGAAATGAATTTAAAAGTAATTTTGTTTAACATATTCACTTAGCTTTGATTTGAATGAATTGATAGAAGTAATATTTTTTATATCTGTGGGTAGTTTATTATACAGCTGTGCGCCTTCGTAGGTAAACATTTTTTTGCCGTAGTTCGTACGTACTTGAGGTAATGCAAGGTAACTCGTTCGACGCATACTTCTATGAGTCGCACGTGGCGGTTTAGAGAAAGCTAGACTAGTGTGGAGAGAACTTGTTATAATTTTTTGACAAGAATACATGTATAAATATATATAAAAGAATGACAATCTGAAATTAGTTTTTTGTATGTCGTTGTAGCTGTTGAGCACTTGATATGTGTTAATGTTTATATTTGCTATTGCCTCTTTGATTATAAGTTTTTTGAAGAAGTTTTTATTATTGCTGGTGTTCTGTTTGTATATTTTATGGTTAGGTTTGTTTCGCCATTAGTTTGACGTCGGAGCAACTCTTTTTTTAGGTTTTTTAGGTATTTTTGCTGTGCTGGAGTTTGGTATGGTGTTAAGTTTCTTTATTCGAATAGGTGCTGGTCATAACATGGTATTTATTGGTTAAATTTATTTCCAATATTGTTTTTAGTCAATCTAGATGTCATATTTTACTCATCGAAAAGGTAGTCATTTAATTATTCACATCTGCAGTATATCAATAATAAGTGAACCTATCGACTTACTCATTTACTCCCCATATAAATTAGGCCATCCAGATGCCAATTTCGGTGGAATCGTAATTTTCATACATGTCGGCTTGTCAACTTATTCACGCCTGGTACGGATAGATAGATGTACGTCACAATTTGGATCTGAAATTATTGTGCAAACGGTAATGAAAAATTAAACAAATGGTAAAGAGAATTTCAGAATGTTAATTATATTATAGGAATGGTAATAAGTAAAACACAAATGGCAGTGATGTTATTTATTCAATTATATAAAAACACAATTTCGAATTCAAATTCAAATAAAATGAACTTCTTAAGTAATTACACTATGGAAGCGTCAGTCTTAGTAGTAATGAACTTTGGCAAATAACAGTCTATATAAATCACATAGGTAATCTAGCACTTTTTGGTTATGATAATATAAGCAGTGTAATTTTATTGGTATACACACCAAAATAAAAAAGGAAATAGAAACTTGTGTTTTCCGATAAAACACAACATAAAAGTAATTGCAATTTCTTTGGATATAATCAATCTCGTTCTTGTACTGTCCACCTGGTGATCGCCAAGTCCATCTGCGGGTTTATTTTTTCTTGAAACAGGTATTTAATTGTTAATTCAAGTTCTATCGCGAAGTTTACAAGTCTTGCTACTCGTTCTGTTGTTCCTATGAAGCTCTCTATATTGTTTTTCAGTGACTTGTGTATTATGAATCCCACCCCATATTTTCCGGGTGTACATCCAAGTGGAAAGGTGTTGTGTTCTTCTATTTTGTGGTTTGTACGTTTTCTCTCCCTATAAAGTTGAGGAAATTATGGTTATTTTTCCTCTTTGCAGTTGGCGCTGGAGATATGCTTAGATGTTTAGGAGGCGACTCAGTATTATTTATTTTCTTTTTCCACCGCCGAAGTCCTTTACTATGAGATTATCTCCCCTAAGAAAATTGCAATCCTCCCATTCCTTCTTTCTTTTTTTAATGTCGGTTAAAGTTGCTTTCTTTTTTCTAAAGTTTCTTTTGTAAAGTCTTCTTCGATATATATAAAAGGAGGTAGATTTTTCTTATTCTTAATTATCTCATTTCTTTTCCAGCTTATAACAAATCAGACAAGAATAGGTCTTGGACTGGGTTTATCACGTTGTTCTTTTCCGATTCTGAAAGCATTGTTAATTTCGTTACTTTCTACTGTAACTATTTTACGTAGGGTAGATACGATGGTTTCTACCGTAGAATTTTGGGTTTGTTCTTCTTTTATTTCATATACTACAAGGATCTTCCATTTTTTGTTTTCTTCTAGATGTTTGACTTTGTTTTCTAACTTTCTACCTGAGTTTTCAGCAAACTGTTTTCATCTATCAATATCTGCAATTTTCTTCCAGTATTTCAGTGATATTTCTGGTTACTGCTATTGTAATAGCAATCTAATATCTTTGATATGTATTGGTATGTGTTGCCATCTTCTCTAATCTTATTTAAAAATTCCTTCATATAATTTTCCATTTTGTTCGTATTCTTCAGCTCCAATTTTAATTAGGAATTTATTTATTTATTGTATAAAAACATGAAGAACAAATAAAAACATAAATTCTGGCCTTAGAACCCCGACCTCGGAGTGCAGACACCACTATGTGTCTCTCAAAAATTTCATCACATTGATTTCAGTTCCCAACACGCATTTCTTTCGTTTTCCGGGTGTTGATTTTATAGTCCCGCAAATCTCGCCTCGCGTTCCAGGTCGTTCAACTTAGATTGCATGTCGCGGTGCGTGTGACTTAGCAGACATAGCTCATCGGCATAATCCAGATCTTCCAAGATGTTGGTTAATCCCCACTTTATTCCGCGGCGCTTGTTCTGATGTGTGCGATGCATAATCCCGTCGAGAACAACCAGAAAAAGTAGTGGCGAGAGTAAGCAGCCTTGTCGTACGCCCGCGTGCACTTGAATATCGTCTGAGATGAGGTCATCGTGAGTCACTCTACAAGAATAGTTCTGACAGCTGGCCTTTACTTTTATTATCTTTGGCGGGACACCAATGTTAGAGAGTCGCGACCATATGCTGCTCCATCTCAGCGTATCGAAAGCTTTTTCGAAGTCAACAAAGGTAAGATAAATCTCCCTCTGCCATTCTGATGCCTGTTTGAGAATTATCACGAAGAGTATTGATTTGGTCAGTACACGAGCGATTAGGCCGAAAGCCAGCTTGTTCTATGTGAAGGAGAGGCTCGACGGCTCCCGACAGCCTGTCCAAGATAATTCTGCAGAAATCCTTGGAAGGGGCCAAGAGCAAGGAGATACCTCTCCAATTGCTGCATTGGCTTAGATCACCTCTTTTTTGGACACAGTTATAAGAAGGCCCCTGTTCCAGTCCTCCGGAAGCTTTTCGCTGGTCCAGATTTTGCGAATCAAAGGTGTCAGCGTGCCGACGGTGGTAGCCAAGTCCGCTTTTAACATTTCTGCAGCTATTAAGTCAAAACCTGGTGCCTTCCAGTCTTAAGACCCATGACTGCTCTCGCCACTTCATCCCGTGTAGGTGGTTCGACATCGATGTTAAGTAGCCTGGGTGGAGGAGATGTGTCTTGCGGGTCACCATGCGTGGACAATGCTGTGGGACGAAAGGTTTCCTCAAAGTACTCACGCCAGCGTCGTAGTTGCCCTTCTGATGTTACGATCAGCTGGCCATCTTTTGATTTTAGAGGCTTCTTACGCTGACTTCTCTTACCTGCCAAAATTTTTGTCGCTTTATATAGGTCTCTCATGTTGCCGGTGTTAATTGCAATTTGAGCGTGGTCAGCTATACTGTCAGCCCACAACCTTCTGTCATTTCGCGAGCTGCGATAGATTTTCTTACAAATCTGCCGAACCTGCTGCCTGAGGTCGGCTTGTAGTAGCTCGTCGTTGGTTTCTAGCAGTTTAAGGTGGAGTTCCCTACGGTCGTTTAGCAGCTGCCAAGTGGCTTGTGACATACAATCCTCGCGCGAGTGCTTAGTGTGACCTAAGACGGAAGAGCTAGTCTCTGTGTAGGCCACTTTGATGCGTTTCCACTCTCGTCTATTGAGTCCTTGTCACCGTTAAGTCCGGTGAAGCAGTTACGAAGTTCAAGCCTGAACTTGTCCATAGTTTTAGGATCTCGCAGTTTAGTGACGTCAAACCTTTGAATCGATACTGGAGAAAGTTTATGTGTGGGGTAGTAGCAACCATGTTAAGTTTAGTTCTACAAAGACTCAGGTTTGTTCGTTTTCTGTCAAGAAAGATCCTTTTGTCGTGTCTCCTCAATTTGAAGGCGCTTTCCTTAGTACGTCACACAGCCTCAGTATTCTTGGGGTTGGCATTTCGAAAGAAGTCCAATTCCGCAGTCACCTGGAAGAAAAAGCCAAACTGGCTTCCAAAAATCTGGGTGTTTTGGGTAGGGCTAAGCAGTATTTCACTGAGGTACAACGTATGCAGCTCTACAAGGCTCATCTACGACCTCATATGGAATACTGCTCACATATCTGCGCTGGTGCTCCCAAATACTGTGTTATGCTGTAATACGCTGGGCTTGTCGAATTGTCAATTTACAATGTCTTACTGATCGGCTTGTTTATCTCTCTCTACGCAGAGACATTGCATCTCTTTGCGTTTTCTATAAAGTATACTACGGTGAGTGTTCTGAAGAATTGTTTGGGTTGATCCCTCCTGCCAATTGTCAAGGAGACAATGACCCGTAATTGTCCCTATACGAATATAGTGTATTTGTCAATAATAAAAATAACAGTTACTATAAATTAGCTAGTGTAAGTGAACTTTCCCCGGATAAAGAAAGGACAATACGCAGTTACTTGTTGGCACTGCGCAAAGTTTAACGTAATTAAAAAATTCCATGAGTGGCAAGGACTCCAAAGTAAGATTAAACCATTAACTTGTAGATTTTGTAACGAGAGAAGTGCCGTGAAATGTTTTATAAAAACTTTTTCAAACGGACACCTATTGAACAGCGTAAATGAAATAAATATATACTCGAGTAATATAAATTTCTGGAAAATAAATAAAACAGACTGCCGCAAGTGCAACGGGCAGTTTTAAATGTTAAGTACATGCCAATTATAGGACTTGAAAGTGAATAGAACGTGACCTGTGAATGCGGTACAGTGAACAAAATACGTTGCGCGCGCGTGTGAAGACATGCCGTATTGACACCGCTTTTTGCTGACCTTTCGACTCACTTTGGTCAGCGCGGGTGCGCGCCGCCAGCCCGACCATCAACTTGAAGCCCAGCATAACAACAAGCAACCGTTTTTCCTCGCTCTCCACCGAAGCGGAGCACAAAGACGAAACCGAAAGAGAAAATGACTACGCCCACGCGTCATTCACCTCACCCAAACGCAAGAAGAGAAAGAGAGGTGCCGGTACTCCCAACTCGACAGCGACCCCGTGACAACCGAGAGTGATCACATCATCCACTCACATCCCCGACATAATCATAACAGATGTCAAGAAAATCAACGATCCGGAATACCTTAACAAAATTAGAAAAATAACAACAGAGCATGGAGCAAGATACGCTATGGCTGGTAACAAGAGGACCATCACAATCCGCGTTTACACCGCGGACACAAGAAATTTTTTTTATAGAAAAGTTAAGTAAACTAAAGACGACGGCTCCGCTTCGTAGCACGCGTCCCCAAAGCTCAGCAGACCCATCAGACAAAGGTTGTGCTCATCACGAACATCTACGATGAAACGAATGAGGCATGCCTTGAGGAAATGGAGAGGTGCATTGGAGTGAGACCGATCAAAATGAGAACAATTAAGGGTGGGTAACCTACAATTATTTATCTTTGATCTTGTCCACACATACGATGAAATCGCCACGCTTATGAAGTACAAGAATACAAAGACGACCCCAGGAGAGTAGTACAATGTAAGATATGTGTCCTCTTCACGCATGCGACATTGGCGTGTCACGGTAAGAAGAAACACCCCACCTTCATAATTAAAAACGAAGAAGGCATAGATATAGAAATATGCACAGCATGCAAAAAAACAGGCCATGGGGCCAACCAAGCCAAATGGACAACACGAATAAAAAGAAAGGAAAAAGAGAGATGCAGCAGAATGCAGATACGCAGCACTGAAATACCGACAGGAAAACGCCTCAACTTCACAATTTCCGCCGCTGCCCAAACAAACGCCCCAATCACAATCACAGTACCAGCCAACAACGCAACTAAATGAACACACAAAAAACTGAGCTCTCATATTCGTCCTTATTTTAATGTTTCAATCGAAGTCCATATGGGAGACGATTTCATGCATGCTTTGATGATATCTGCTCGCGTACCTCTGTTAATAACGGGGAGAGTCTGTCGGAAATATCCAGCAAATACAAAAGTAATCCCGCCCATGACTGCAGAGGAGTTCCTGAGGTCTTTTAAGGTTCTGTTCACGACCTCTATATGTGCTCTATGGCTCATCATGCATTCGTCCCACATAACTAATGAGTTGTCTTGTAGTAATTTACCTAGAGGCCCGTTTTTGCGGATAGAACATGTAGATTGTTGCTCAAGATTTACAGATAGCGGAAGTTTAAAAGTAGAATGAGCAGTTTTTCCACCTCTCAAGAGAGTTGCAGCAATTCCGGAGGAAGCAACTGCTATTGCTATTTTCCCTGATTCTCTGACCTTAGCAAGAAACGTTTTTCCTGTTCCGCCTGGCGCATCCAAGAAAAATATTTTTCGTTTGTCATTATTCAAACAGTCGACTATAGTCTCAAAAGCATGTTTTTGATCTGGGACTAATTTTGGTAGGTTTTCATTGACGAAAAGGGTCAAATCATTTGTATCGTAGTGATGTGCCATTGTATCTGCAACATTGTTTTGTGTACGAACTGAAGAAGATAATCCAAAATTACTACGACTTTTGTCATTTAATTGCAACAATCTATTTTCTATTTGTATCAAACCTTCGTTATAAATATTCTCATTGTATGGTAACGCGAAGTCTTGATTTTCCTTTCTGATTCTGTGTCTAACATCTTCACACAAATCATCTTTGAAACTGTCCCACAATTTGAATGGCTCCGATGGCTGACAAAATAAAAGTATGACCAAAAACAACTCTCTTACTTGTATTGGACATTGCAAAAGCGATGCTTCTCGTAGAGTATTTTCCCAATGGTCATCGTTTTCTAGCAAACCTCTATCACGGCAAGCAGCTTGATAGGTCTCTTTAAGAACTCCGTCCACAGTTTTCAAGTGCTGAAATGAAGTTGGACCGCGTACGTGATGCATCAACATCCTAAAATAAAAACACACAGATTGAGAAGCATGAACACCATAGACTCTTCCTAAAGCAGCATCTTTTTTTATTCCTGGATGGCCAACTACGTTCTCACCACGCTTCCTTCTTGTAAACTTATTATTAGCCCATGTGAAATATTGCGGGAATTCGTGGTATAGCAGTGTTTTTGCGAATTCACCTTCATTACAGAGCTCAAAGAAAGCAAGCAAAGTTGTTTTGCGTGGATTTCGGGCCACTTGTTCAGCCGTTTCTGCGGTGAAATACACCCTTTTCCCATTTTCTAAGTGGACAGCTAACTGTAAGACTGTAGGATGGCGCTCATGAATCGGAAATTCGCTATTCACGTAGTTTTCCACTTCATCATTTGGGTTCCTGACGCCAAATGTAGCTTGGTCCGATCCTTTATTTATGTATTTACAAATGTATTTGATGGCTTAAACTGAGTGGCAATACTCTAAATTTATGTGAGCGTTAAAAGTCCTGCACAAAAGTGGATAATAAGAGATAATCCAGCTATTATCTATAGGTAGTATAATTACTGCCTCTGATATTTAGCGAAGCGCTCTTTCCTCCATTTGCGGTGTCACGACGATAAACTGGATATCCGTCCTCTCCGGTCTGAGTTTCGTTGACCAAACGTCGTGGGTATTTTTTTGTGCAAATTCCGTTTTTCATACATGGTGCTGTTAAGCTAAAGCAGACTGCCCAAAGCCTTATCGAAGTACTCCAGCTAAATGCGCCTTGTGCCTCGGTGCCACATCCAGCCAACTCAAAATAAAATAAATATATGTAGAAATCCTATCGAGAAAATCTAAAAGGCAGTATACCCGCGCATCTAGGATAAATCCACTATTATCCAATACAAATAATAACATTAATCAGGAAAGACAACGAAGCTCTAAACAGATGACACCTGAGATGAATACGCAGTTAGAAAATAATAAACCACTTATCTAGGCACAAAGAAAGACCTAACCATGGAAATTATCGATCAAGCTACGCCGATGTGATAAGATCTAACCAGAATACTAATAATACACCAAAACCTACAATTGAAGAAATGTTAGTCAAACAAGCTGAAAAGTTTGGTCTTATCCTACAACAAATGAGCACATTAATCAATTTAATTAGTCACGAAAATGTCCAAATGACTTCCCTAAAGATAGCTAGCTGGACACCACAGACAAGTCGTCCTCGATTAATTCAGTTTTGAAGGAAGCTTTATGCTTACAAAAGCCATTTATTGTTTAAAAATATACGTGTTCAAGAAGTCTTAAAATTACGAAAAGTATGTTTATTTATTGTAAAAATCTATTTAAAAGGTTGGTTTGGCTGCCACAATGCGATCAAAGCTCTAAACCAAGACCTTAACTTTTTAAGACTTGATAAAGTTCAAAGACATTGATTCGAAAATATCACAAATAACTTCCCAAAAATTTGCAAAACATTAATGGTATCTTTCAGAAGAACTTATAGCGTTCGCTTTTTTTGATAGTTCTGTGTCGATATGAAATTAAAGATGGTCGAATCATTGAGAACGAAAGAAAGCGCGCGTCAAAGAAAACGCATTGAAATTGATTGTAAGAAATTAGATTTAATGTGTACGAAAGAGATTAGTGATTTTGTAACAAAAAAAATCTTTTATATTATTCGAACAACTTAAGTTACCGAGTGATTTTCTCAATTTGAGCCCAACAGAATGGCCAAATGATCCAAATTACTTATCTTGTTTATCGGTATTAAAAAATATCAAAGTAGTAGGGTAGGGCGGGGCTTAAAGATCTGCGGGTAAAAAGGTCCACCACAAATATTTCAAAAACAAGTGAAGTATCATTCTTTCTAACGATAGTGGTGTAATGAAGCCGGCGCGGGGGGAGTAACGCGCCATCGCCGACAGTCGGGCGACGTCGCTTAGCGGAGATACACGGTCGCGTGTCCAAATTTCAGCGTAAGTATTTTTTTTCGGTATTAAACTTTTTAGTTTGAAGGACTGTTTGTAAGTGAACGATCCCTAAACACAGTTTTAAGATTTACGCTACTTTATTGTTTTTTAAAGTTTGTTGTTATTTTTAAGTAAGATTGAATGTTTTTTTTAAATATAAACTCTTTAAATACTCACACATGGTTGGGGTAAAAAGGACCAACCGGACCTTTTTACCCCACATCATTTACGTATTGGTTATAAAATCATTATTTTTATTTTAGTATGCGGAACTACAGAAGAAAAACAGAACGTGGCACAAAATCTGTAGAATTGATGCAACGTGCAGCAAATTTAGTTCTACATGAAAATAAATAATAACTCCAAGGAAAATATTTAATAAAGAACAAGAAGACAGTCTAACAGACTACTTGCTCAAACTTGCACAAATTTTTCATGGTATAGGTCCTAAAGAAGTTCGTCGCATGGCTTATGACTGTGCTACTAAATATAAAATAAATATTCCAGGCACATGGCATTCAAATAAAATGGCTGGGAAGGATTGGATGTCTGCATTTCTTACACGAAATAGCAGCCTCTCTATTAGAAAACCTGAAGCAACAAGCCTAAGAAGAGCAACGTCATTTAATAAAAGTAATGTGCAAGAATTTTACACGAAATTAGCAGAAGTTATGGATCGATTTAAATTTACAGCTTCTTCCATATGGAATGCAGATGAAACTGGTGTATCGACTGTCACCAAACCATCAAAAATAATTGCAGCTAAAGGAAAACGAAATGTTGGTTCTGTAACATCAGCTGAAAGTGGAACTAATGTTACTCTATTGGTCGCAGCAGCTACAGATTCATCCATTCCACCAATGTTTATATTTCCTCGCAAAAAGTTTCAAGATCATTTTATTCGAGATGGTCCTACTGATTGCATTGGTGTCAGAAATTCTAGCGGCTGGATTACTAATGATGAGTTTTTTTTATTTATCCAGCATTTTATCAAGAAAGTTAGGCCTAGTAAAGAATCGCCGACGTTATTGGTTTTAGACAACCACTCCTCACACTTATCTGTACCCACACTCGATCTAGCTAAAGAAAACGGCGTGGTGATGCTTTCCTTTCCGCCACATTGTTCTCACAAGTTACAACCGCTTGACGTGGCAGTATACGGACCTTTTAAAAGATATATGTCTTCAGCTCAAGATGTATGGATGAGGAATAATGCTGGAAAGACAATGACCATATATGATATCCCTGGACTTGTCCGCACTGCCTTACCTTTAGCTTTAACACCAAATAACATTATGAGTGGGTTTGAAAAAAGTGGCATATTTCCCTACAACCAAAATAAATTTAATGACGATGATTTTGCACCAAGTTATGTTACGGATCGTCCCTTAATAAATTACACAAATGAGCCACAGCCATCAACATCATCAGATTCTTTTCCATCAATACTGTTGAACACACAGCCTTTGATGTCATCTAATCCGCAGCAACCAACAACACATGACGCAATGATTGACACTGGTGATACATTGGTCGATCCTCATGAAGTTTTTTCGTCTGAAGTACGGCCGCTACCAAAAGCTGGCCCACGAAAATCAATCGCAAACAGAAAACGCCGCAAAAGTGCTATTTTAACCGATACACCTGAAAAAGAAAATCTTCGAAAAGAACAAGACTTTGCGAATAACAAAAAGACCAAAGGTGTAAACAAGAAGGCGAAAGTAAATAAAAAAGTAGAACAGGTTAAAAAAGCAATATTACAAGAGATTAATAGTGATTCTAGCTCTGATGATGAATATTTCTGTTTAATTTGCTGCGAGAACTACAATGACAGCGTTCCAGGCGAAGGTTCGATACAATGTAATCTTTGCAAACAATGGGCCCACGAAAAATGTATTTCAAACAGAGGTAGTGTTTACTTCGTATGTAATAATTGTGATTCAGGAAATGATGAGTCTGATTAAGATACAAAAAGTATTATCTCCAAAGCAATACCTCTTATATCTTATAAGAGTTAGAAGATTTTTTTTGTTTAATGCTTAGCATTTTGTTTCCTTTTATAAGAGTTTAAATATTTATGTTTGACATTATTGTAAAGTTTTGTCTGGTTATGGCAGAATGCATAAAGGACAGCATTTATTTGTTTATTTTATATATTTAAACTGAGACTGATTATTAAGTGTTAGGAGAAATTACTAATAAAACCAAATACAAAAAATATTCATGTATTTTTATTTGAATAAGACTAGGTAATAATTCATTTTAATTACCTATACTTAAATGAAGATAATATGTTATTAAAATGATTACCGCACTAGTATTTCTGTTTTTTTTTAAACAAATATACTTTTAATATACACTTAAATATTGGACCTTTATGCCTCCCCGCTGTCCCGTTTTACCCCTGCTATGGGGCAAAAAGAGACAGATGACAAGGTGTTAAATGAAACGAGTATTTTATTAATCACTGTGTTAATTATATTTTATTGTTAACCAGACAATGGCGAAAAAGGAAGTAAGCTTATACACAGAGCAAATCATAGATACCAGATATGACATAGACAACAAGTGATGTATTCTATAATTGCTGAAGACGCAAAATTTACATTTTATAGACTAACACTCTTACTAAATTTGACCCTTCTATTAAAGCTAACAAATGAAAACCAAACATTAAATAGCTTATTTATAAAAACTTTATATAAAGATACTTGAGCAACACAGTAATATGATAGCTTTACATTTTTGGTTTCTCAATCACACCAAGTTTCTCTCTGAAATATTGAAATTTTACTTTACATAGAGCTTTTGTAAATATATCAGCTAACTGACTATTAGTACTAACATATTTCAAATCTATCAATTTCAATTATTATGAAAATCATTATTCTTGATCAAACAAATAGCACTTTGATTATCTATATGAAGATTAATACAACTCTGTTTATATTCGTTAATATCAAGCATTAACTGCCGAACCCAGAGAGCTTCTTTTGTAGCACAGCAGGATGCCATAAACTCTGTCTCAGTGGTAGACAGAGCGACGGTCGATTGTCGTTGAGTGCTCCACGTCACTGCTGCTCCATTTTTCATGAAGATGTAACCAGTGATAGACCTTCTGGTGTCAGGATCATTGGCATAGTCGGCGTCAGAGTAACATTCAAGTATGTTACTTTGAGTTGATCTGAAACAGAGTCCAAAATGTTTTGTTTCTTTTAAATACTTAAAAAAATCGGTTGTCTGTAAAGTCGGTTTACTGACGATAGTTGAACGTGACAACGTTATAAGAAAATACTGATGGAATGGTTGCATTGCGAGGTAAATGGAAATCACAATTGAATTGATCAAGTTACATTTATTTGTACGGATAAATACAATTATGTCGCATAAATACACAGATATCGAACGCTGCCGAACGCGGTGGCCGATTGTGCCTCTTTAATGGAACGCCTCAGAGCGAGGTAACGCCGCATGCGTCATGTTTTTTCGTGCGTGCAGCCGCCTCCATCGAATTATAAGACGTTGTCACGTCAAAAACGTTATTCGTATATTTTAGCAGACTTACAAGATTGTAAACAATCTATAAACGAAACCATCAGTAAATATTCCCTCAAGGCAGAAGCGTGCCTATCAAAGTTACTAGCTGAAATTAATATATCAATACCTACAAAAAAGAATGACGAACTTGTAGGACGCGCGTAACAGTACTCTATAGAATCATTCAGTCTTGTAACACCTATCCAGGCCGTTTATCGTGTTGCGACGCATACAATAATATCATATCAGACCCAGTTCTATAATATCATCGGAACTGGGTGACCTCATTAATTGCCCCCTCATATCAATAGAAATGCGAACTTCACCATTTCCTTTCAATACTGACACCAATGGCGAGAACTATTGACTTCCGCATTTTTCCGCACTTTTCCTTCGAGAAAAAAATGGTGCTATTGTAAGCGGTTCTGCAAAATGAATCGTCGTTCGAAACAATATATAATTTTTTTTTTCATAAACTTTTTTGTAAATGTTTTATAGAAAAAACATCGTACGAGGACACACATTTTAAAACAGTCACTATAGACAAAATTGGTAAGACAAGAAATACGGCCAATAATATCACTGTTAAAAAAGCATACAGAGAAAAAATTCCTATATGTGAGAAGAAGAAGAAAGGTTTGCTAGACCTTATTAGGAAAAATATTGTACCAAGGTTTTATAAACCGTTTTTTGAGAATCTCTAATTTTTATTATGTACCTGAAGAAGACTGATTCTGCGGCCAAATAGTTTTAAGAAGAAGCCTAATAGAGTATTAAGTTTGTTAGATTTTTTTATGTTCATGGTTTCTAATAAACCTAATTATTTTGAAAAAACAAATTTTTTTTAGATGTTGTATGTTTAAGTATGGTTCATAATGTTCCTAAATATTTCTAAATAGCAAATCTTTGTTATATATTTGTTATACTTTATAGTTCATAATGTTATTTTTCCTAATTACTTTTAAGAAGTATAATAGATATTGTCTGTTACATTTGTTTTATGTTTGTGGTTCCTAATATGTTTAATGTTAAGAGTGATCATTTTAATGTGCATACTGGTAGGTATCTGGGTTATAGTCATACTGCAAGTTATAACAAAATGTGGACTTATGGTAGGGGAGCCCAAGAGGGGATTTCGGGATTTACTAAAGCGCGGCAGATTAATATACAGGGGGATAGCTTGTACTCGGTTAAGTACCTCCACAAAACATGAGGTCCATATATAAGGCCGCCTGTGAAGGAGACAGGATCAGATTAGTAAAAAAAAATTGACCATCAGAAATTCCCGAGCGCATCAGATTAAGGTAGGGTGAGTTAATTACATCCTAAAAAGTGTATATTCCACTAATCTGACAATTTGAGAGTGACGTAAAGAAAGGGGAGGGCAACAAAGTTGTAAAAAAAAACGTCATCTCGACATTCTCGAGCGTAGCTAAATTTTTTTTTATTTTGAAGGAAATAATTCAAGAATAATGAAAAATATATAATCTGACGATTTCCGCAAGCCGAAATAACAAAAATTCGTCGATAATAAAGTAAAATGCGTGCAGCTGCGTGATGCCTATATTTCCTTCTCCGCGTTTCTATTTCTCTCTCACTCTTTATCTATTCAAAATTTGACGGAAACGTTTAGAAATAATAAGTGTCACTATCATAGTACCAGAAAACTTTACGTTTAAAATATATCAAAAGAATAGTTTTGTATGAAATGAATATTATATTTTTAGCAACCAGAAGTAATAATCAAATAAAAAAAAACAATTCGAAATAACCTAAGAAGTGATTTAACCAAAAATAACTTCATTAAAGAACAAAACACGGTATATTCGAAATCACACTAAATCTACCTTAAAATTAATCTTATACAATCAAAACAACACGACTTTGGGTATTTTAAAAACAACCGTTAACCTTAAAACAATTACACAAAAACCACCGAATAAAGATAACATAGAACGATCTCACAGTATGCGGCCTCGATACCAACCACCTTACTTGTTTACGTCCGAGCAACAACCGAGCCCGTCGCGCACTGAGGCGTTGCTTTTATAGAAGGCGGGTGGGGATCGAAACCACCTACTGCGATTTCTGCTTATACGGCCTCTCCTGACCGTGCACCGTCCTCGGATGCACTGTTGATCTCTTCTTCGGGAGAACTGGTGGAAGGCACGGCGGCGTCTTGCTCGCCATGTTCACCTATATGTGGTTCGTGTGTTCTTGAGGAAGCAGAAAGATCAGTACACGCAGCTGAAGGCTCACCAACATCATTGGGGTATTCGTCATCGCAATCTGTGTAACAGTTATCCTGTTAGTTAATCACGACGACATTACGTTAGTGCCTAGTCTGTCATTCATCACGCATCCAAGGCCCTCATACAAAATAACACTTTCACAAGTTTAGCTAAAACACTTCGCTTTCAAAAGTATGCATACATCATTTCACAAAACATCTCACACATTCTCATACTTGAACTTGTACAAGTTCCCCCGTTAGCAACGTGAACCAGGACTGCGCCTGAAGTGCGTTCAAAGAACACACCACCCGGGACAGCGCCCGTAACACTCTCAAAAGAGCACCAGCACTAAGGCTGCCAGGACTGCGCCTGATATGTATTCAAAGAGCACATCTTCCGGGACAGCGCCCGCCACGCGCACAGGATGCACGTCTGCCAAGGCCCGCTTCTCAAGGTTGCTGGCCTCAGGAACACACCATGACCGCACCACATTGGCAGTCCGTTTCAACCAGCAAGGCACACACTTGCCTCACACTCGCACGTAAGCCAACATATCACGCGCGCATCCTGATACTCCGTCCGGTTTGCTGGTTGGGAATTTTTTTCTAAGATGGCCGTTCCTGACAGTGCAGCGTCCTCGACCGCAGCATCACTTGCAACCTGCTCATAATTGTCTAGCGCAGTCTCTGTAAGGGAACTTGTAGTAATCTACCTAGCTTCGTGTCATAGCCTGAAGCGTATATCTTGGATTGTAGGGACGAAAAATTACATATTTCTCTATTTCTCCATTACCAGTACCATGTGCGCAAGCGTGCACTCAAGCGCACATAGATAAGGTCTATCAAAAAGCAAATATTACATAATTAGACAGCTTCAGACTTAACACGAATAAAGATAAAACTCAGTATATTTGCAATACACTGTCGCAACGACATTGGCTCCTAGTGCTCTCCTAAGAGACAATTTGTTAAAACAGAGACCCATACATTTTGCATGTTCTCTAAGTGGCCTAAACACATTAGCACCACAAAAATATGAAACAGAGACCCATACCTTTGCATGTTCTCCAAGTGGTCTAAACACATTAGGACCACAAAAGTTTAAAACAGAGACCCATACGCTTGTATGTTCTCAAAGTGGTCTAAACACATTAGCACCACAAAGTCAAGTTTCGAAGGAAACTGTGCACGCATCCGGCGTCCACTCGCCACAACATCAGGAACCAGCTAGTAGCTCTAACTCGTAGCGGTGGCACGGTAGCGCGCGAATAACCTTGTAAGGCCCACGCATGCCGGGGTCCAGTTCACCGGTGATTTGTGCAGTCTTGCTCACAAACACAAAGTCTCCGACAGCAAAGGCGTGCGGCCACCGTCGACTCCCGCTAACGCAGGCATCCCGGCACCATCGACCGGTTGCAAGCAGTTCGGAAGCTCGTCACCTGCGAAGAGTTAAGAGAGCCTCTCGATTGGGATTAGAGTTAATAATTGCCACATCTCACACTAACGATCTGATGACCAGTAACTCCACAGATCACATATCGATACCGACCAGTAACTGCAGTGGTGAAGTCTGCATGGTACTTTGCTTGGAGATGTTCCTCCAAAGTGAGCTGTAGGTATCCTCCACAGCACGTCGGACCACTGGGAATCTTTGTTGCCTACTTCAACACGTAGCATGTTGCATTAAAGCCCCTTTTCTATAATCTAAAGTAAAATTACAATCTGGTAAATATACCCACCAGCGGGCAACTCGTGGAAGAAGATCCTTCTTACGTTCGGTGGCCTTCAAGGCATTGCAATCGGTGATTATCTTAAAACTTATACCAACCAGGTAATGCCGAAAATGTTGCAGAGCCTCGACGACCGCCAACGTTTCTAATTCATATGAATGGTACTTGGGCTCCAAACCCTGGGTAACCCTACTAAAATAGGCTACCACTCGTTTATTACCATCCGTGTAGGCCTGCATAAGCACGGCACCATATCCTGCAGTGGGAAGATCATGTAGATCTTATTGGGCCGCTGACTATTTCACACGGCTACCGTTATTGCTTAACTGCTGTCGACCGATTCACGAGATGGCCTGAAGTTATTCCGTTAACAGATATAACGGCTGAAAGTGTGGCTTATGGTTTTGTTAACGAGTGGATCGCACGATTTGGCTGTCCGCTTAAAATTACAACTGATAGAGGAAGGCAGTTTGAATCGCATCTCTTTAAAGAACTTGCAAAGCTTACTGGTTCCGAGCATATCTCAACTACTGCATATCATCCTGCAGCTAACGGCCTGGTGGAGAGATTCCATCGACAATTAAAAGCTGCTATAATGTGTCATGATAACGAGAATTGGCATGAGGTGCTTCCTTTAGTTCTTTTAGGCATACGTAGCGCATGGAAGGAGGATATATCGTCCAGCTCTGCTGAGCTGTTATACGGTGAAGGTCTTAGATTACCTGGAGACTTATTCATATCGTCGGGTACTGAAATCACCGATCATAGTGACTTCTTGTCGCGTCTACGACAGTATATCAGCCAGTTGAAGCCAACGCCTGTTATGCGACATGGTAAGGCCAAAACATTCGTGCATAAGGATCTGAAACACGCAACGTCGGTATTCGTAAGGCAGGATGCCGTACGTAAGTCTTTAAAACCACCATACTCTGGTCCGTACAAAGTCCTTGACAGGACAGACAAAACCATGAGAATAGAAATGGACGGCAAGACAACAACGGTATCTATAGATCGAGTGAAACTGGCACACATATTGACTGAAGAGGAGCCTATCAATAACACCACTGCAGTTCCCAGTATGCCCCCTGCAAAGAAGCCTGATTATGTAACTCGTTCAGGCAGAAGAGTTCGATTTCCGCGCCACTTTTACGACCTATAGGTCTCCGGGGGGGCTGATGTGGGGACTGGCAACACTGCGCGGGAGACGCTTCACGCCAGTTATTATCGAGCTTCGTCGCCGGCAGGGCGTACGATCGTACCTACGCCACGTATCGCGACACAAGCCAACATTAATAGTTAAACGATACATTGTATTAATTTATTAAGTGCAGTGAATATACATGTGTGTTTAAATATATGGGGTTTCATTTATACAAACTCTACGCCCCCATAAAAGCAAGAAAAAATAAAAACGAATTTGTTACTGATGAAGCAAAGAAGATTATTAGCTTGCAGAAAAAGTACAAAATGAATTCTCAAAATAAATAATTTAAAATATTTACAATTTTTATTTATATAATATGTACCAACAAAACTTATTTATTTACAACAAACTTTGATAATAATTAGCAATAAGAACATCACGAGTTCTATGAAGTCGGCCAGGTATACGCTCACTTTCAGTGCTTTGACTTTGAGGTATTTGACCATCATTTAAAATTTGCTCCCATGGAGCCGGTAAATGCAGTTCTGAGTCATCTGGAGGTAATGTTTCTTCACTACGGCGTAAAATATTGTGTAAAACTGCTGTGGCCACTATAATTGTCAATGCTTTTTCTAATTTGACACGCATCCCAAGTGCCAGCACAGGAAATCGTCTTTTTTCATACACCGTAACTCCTTTCAACAGGATTTCTCGTTCTTATTTGTGACTCATTATAGAGTTGCTCTGCCTGTGTTCTCGGGCTTTCTAATGGTGCCATCATGTAAGACGTTGAGGCATATCCACCATCAACTACTAATAGTGCATCACCATAGCATCCATCTTCAAACTTTACCTTAATTATGCTATTGTTGAATATTGTGCTGTCATGACATGACCCTGGCCATCTTGCCACGATGTCAGTGATTTCTAGGTTGGAGTTGCATATTGTCTGCACATTTATAGAAAAATAACCCTTTCTGTTTCGGTACAATTCTGCTTGTTCACCTCCTACCTGAGATCGGAGAGGGACAAAAGACAACTTAATGTGCGTGCATTTCATAGCACCAATTACCCTTGGAAATCGAGCAATGTGATAAAAATTGTCTTGTTCTGTCCTTATCTCTAGTTGAGTGCTGGGGAACTTTATATATTCACTATGTAGTGCAGCAATAGCGGCACTGACTCTGTGTATTATTTTATTTGTAGTGGGAGTGCTCCAACCACAGGTGTCGCCAATGGTCATTTGAGTCGAATTGGTTGCATAAAATCGTATAGTTCCCAGCAACTGATTTATAGGTGCAATGGAGAAGTTGCTGATATAGAACAAAATTAAATTAATTAATTTGGCATATATACTAGAAAATGTACTTTAAGGTAGCTACATGTAAGAATGTACACGTACCGATCGGAAATATATTCCAAGTTACGTTCAATTTTCGATAGCAGGAACAAAGTCTGCTTCTTTACTCAAACGAAACCTTATCACAAAATCATGGTCATCATAATATTCAAATAAGTATTTTTTTTTCTTTTAACCATCTTGGACGTCTAGGTATAATTTCCTCATCACTATCACTATCATCAATCAAATTGTTTAAACGTTGCATTATACAAAGCCAGACTATTGATTTAGTACGTTGCGTTGACTTGAAATTAAATTTTTCACAGAATAAATATTTGTGAAATGACAGAAATCAGATGATTGGACTGACTGACGCCATTAAATTATTCTAGGAATAGCTGTTATTCCGTGCGAAACGGCGGTATAGTAATAATCCCCGAATAGGCCCACTATTCATAGAATTTGTAGATGGTAAAACGTAAAATTGATTTACTCTCGATTAACTGACGATTTATTCTAAGATTAAGATTTACTCTTGTTTGGTCGAATCCACCCTAAGAGACACAAGTTTTACACCTCAACGACCCAACAATTGTTTAAAGCTTAACTAATTACGTTTCAAGAGACAAACTGACTAGGTACATGAATCATAAATTAATGATTAGTTATGTTACAGTTAAAATGATTCGAACTGGACTCCAGAGTTAAACGAGGCATCATTAATTCATTGGAAACTCTTAATACATTTATTTCTAGGAATCTTGGTCATAATGACGCTCCGAGATATTATTATATTTCAAAATCAATTAAGAAAGAATTAAGTTCTAGTTTTAATAAATATATTTCACTTTCTAAAGAATATAGCATACAACAAATTCAGGTATTGAATAATTTAACAGATAATCAAATAAAATTAAGCATAGCCCTAAACTATATAATAAACATGAATAACTCGGACAATCAAAGTGTAATTCGTACACCTGTCGCTAATATTCAACATTATAAGCGATAACGTGCAGGAGTTATATAATGAGATAATTAGAATAGAAAATATATTAGCTTTTAGTCGCACTATGTCATTTCACCATTCTATGTTAAATATTAATGATTTAAAAATAATGTTAAAAAAAAATTAAAAAATCTGTATCGCACAGATCAAATCTTAGATTTGGAAATAAGAAATTTTTATGATAATTAGCTTAGGTTCATATTATATAGACAGGAAAATAGTGATTGCTCTTAGCTTTCCCTACTTTACCTTCAATATTCCAACTTTATCGATTGTGTCCTGTACCTATTATACATTCTCAGGTAATTATCCCGTCCTATCCATATGTAGCAACTAATTCTAAAGAATTTGTGTACATAGAGACAGAATGTCCGAAGATCAACAGGCACATATGCGAGCCTAAACTACGTCATCAGATGAAGACCAAAAAGGACTGCATCTACAAAATTATTAATTTTCAAGAAATAGACAAATCATGTTCCACAACGCCTATTAATTAAATTACGGCCACCAACATCGACGACCGAATTTAAGGAAGCGGTGTCGAAATCATTAATTTTCCTCGAATGGACAACATCATTCAACAAAATCAACCAGGTGTCCAACTTAATTCAATCGATCTCACGAAGTTACATAATATGCAAAATGGAATTATTTATGATTTATACATATGATTCATCAAACATAATATACCACACAAAGATTCCTTTGTACTTCGCTATGACCACACTCCTGGGCGCACCTGTAATTTTCTTCATACTCCGATATCGCCGAAATACATCTTCAAAGCCGATTTCAAAAACGGATAATAAGAACATGTCTGCCCAAGAACTTCGAGCCGCAACTTTTAGCTATAGACATCAATAGCAAATAGTTGCTCATCTTACGGGGGAGATGTTACATATCCATTGCACTAACTTTGCCCCGCATTACCAATACCTGTACCCCTCTTACGCAACACCGTTATAAAAGGAAATGGACAAGGAGATCAGAAGCTTTGATCGGATACCTCACATCGGACCGGTCAATTCTCAACTAGTTAAGTTTATAATATAGATTATTTGTCGTGCTCCTAATATCGGGACGATTAAATAGTTATATTTAGTTAAGTCATTATTGTAATAATTAATTAAAGTAATTTTAATATATTTTGGTTTTTTTTTGGGATTCACCGCTGGACCTCACTTAATTTGCACAAAAATAGAAATACACAACACAGATACAGTGGGACCTGGATAAATGAGAAACCTCTATAATTGAGAGTTGCAACGAAGTCCCGGTTCTTTTTCATTAAATTACCTCTGTTAATGGGACTTTTTGAACCTGGTTAAATAAGATTTGAATTCTAAGACTTTTTCGATGTTTACCTCTATAATTGAGACTCTGTAGCTCAATTACCTGTATAAGTGAGACAAATTAATCAGGTTTCAACACGTTTTGACGTGTTTGTTTACATACATTTCTCGTCGTCTTTAGCGCATGCTTTGATTGTCAATACTACATATCTGATGTTTTGACCTAAAAACAAGGGAATAAAAGTGTACAAAATGTCCAAACGCAAATATAAAACGTTATCAGTATCTGAAAAAGTAAAACTTCTATCACATTATGATTGTGGAAAGTCGCGTGATGAACTGTGTAGGGAGAATATTTATTTATTTATTTATTTAGTTATCAAGCCCACAACATCACACACAGTCATAAGTCCACCAACTATTTCACAAAATCCCACATCTAAAATGTGTGACAGTTAATGCAAGCATAAGTTTCTCAGTAAAAAAATCAAATAGAAATTAAAAAAAAATACAACTAAAACACACACGACAATGCAAGCACACATTAAAATAAAATCAATTTTTTAACATAAACATAAAATAAAATTAAATTAAATTTTCAACAACTATGTGCAGAAAAAAAAGAAAAATCGTCAGAAAAACAGCGAAATTAGGTTCTAGAAAGGCACCCCACAATGCTTTCTCTAAAACCGATCAGCCCACTACCGAATATATCCAGCTCTGGATACGCTGTGTTCTTGGTTTTGGTGTTGTTCGTGGTTTTGGCAGATGGAATTTGGAATATATTGTTGATTTTAAACCTAGGGAATGAGTAAGGGACGACAATTTTGATTTCCTGTAAAAGGTCACTGTTCTGTAAATGGTTGTTGAGCAATTTATACAAGAATGTAACACCGGCTAGAGTTCTCCGATTGTTAAGAGATAACATATTAAATTTTTTAAGTCGCTGATGGTACGGTTGTCTAAAGCTAGGTGTCGCGTAAAAGATCTTTGTATGCTTTCAACGCGTTGCGAATGGATCGCATATAGTGGATTCCATATAATACTACCAAACTCAACATGACTGCGCACCAGAGCGTTGTACAAAATTGTTTTAGTCGTACAACCAAAACAATCCGCATTCCGTTTAAGAAATCCAAGCATTCGTGCGGATGTGGTGACTACTTTATTGACCTGCGATGTAAACGTTAATTTTTTGTCAATAATAACACCTAAGTCACGAACCTCCTGAACCTCCTTCAATGGCGCGCCGTCAAGCTTATACACAGTAACAAGTGGTTTTTTTTCTTGTGTATTTAATATTAAAGCACTTATTTATATTGAGGATCATACCATTTAAAAAGCACCAATGTTGTATACCATTAAGATCACTTTGCACTAGAGCAGCATCACAGACAGTGTTAATAACTTTATAAATTTTTAAATCATCAGCGAAGAGAGACGCTTTACAGTGCTTTATATGATTCTTAACGTCGTTTACAAATAGTAAGAATAGCAACGGTCCCAAATGAGATCCTTGCGGTACACCAGATCGCGCAATATAGGGAGTAGACTCAGCGCCTCCAACAACTACTGACTGAGGCCTGTTACGAAGATAGGACCTAAATCAGTTTAGCAAATTCTCTCCCATTCCATAACCACGAAGCTTCTAAATCAGTAACGCGTGACTGACTTTGTCAAAGGCATTGCTAAAGTCAGTATATATGGCATCAATCTGGCGCCCACGATCTAATTCCTGACATGTTTCAGTAACAAAAGACATGAGGTTCGTTTGAATTGAACGGCCTTTTCTGAAACCATGTTGCTCATCAATGATACAGCCGTCTAAACATTTGGAGATTACGGGATACAGGACAGACTCAAAGAGCTTGGAAAAACAAGATAAAATACAAACAGGACGGTAATTTTTTACGTCGGTGATATCTCCCTTTTTATACACAGGTACAACACGAGACCTTTTCCATACTTCAGGAAAAACACCATCTTTAAGAGATCTATTATAAATAATAGTTAGGGGCAAAGATAACACAAATCTACATCGTTTTACAAAGATAGGAGGAATCGAGTCTGGACCAGCTCCTTTGTTAGTATCAAGACCTTTTATTTTCTTAGATATTTCATCCTCTCTAAAGCTAAGGGACATTAGGCCGTCAACATTGCCAATGTTGTCTGGAGTGGAACTGCCAACAAGTGATTCATCACAAGTATATACAGATGAAAATTGATATGAAAAAAGAGAGAGAATAACATACCAAAGTCAATCCTGTGTAGAATTATTAACAACAAAGAGAAAATTCGGTCTCAGTGTATTGATGGAAAAGGAAAACTCAAACGAATACGAGCTGCAGAGTATCCTGAAGTTGAAAAGTGTCTCTGTACATGGATAAAGCAGGTACGGAATAATAACATTCCAATAAGCACACCAATGATCAAAGAGAAAGCTCAAGAATTTGCAAGTAAGCTCCATATTGATAATTTTTCTGGCAGTAATGGGTGGTTGGAGGGATTTAAGAAAAGAAACAATATCGCATTCAAAAATGTTTGTGGCGAGAGCAATTCTGTGGAAAATAACGAATGTAATGAGTGGATTAAAAACCTTCTAGCTTTATTACACGATTATTCCCCCGATGACGTATTCAACGCCGATGAAGCAGGCTTATTCTACAAGTGTCTACCGGATAAAACATTTACGTTCAAAGGTCAGTCTTGCCATGGTGGTAAATTGAGTAAAGATCGGGTCACTGTACTTGTAAGTGCGAATATGTCTGGAACTGAAAAACGACCATTTCTTTTAATTGGAAAATCTAAGAGCTCCAGATGCTTCAAAGGTGTTTAAACGTTGCCTGTTCATTATCAAAACAATAAAAAAGCGTGGATGACTTCTGAATTATTTGCAGATTGGTTAAAAAAAGTAAACGATATGAGGGCCCAAAAACGAAAAATCATTATGTTTGTCGACAACTGCACAGCTCACAACAATATGCCCAAATTAGACTATTGTTACGAAGACGGGTCGACTGCAATGTTTTTAGATTTTTCCACTACATAGAGAACTTTTCCGCAGGCTGAAACCCGTTTTCAGGCGTTTTCGGGCCTGGTTATACCCCTTTGATGAAGGAATAGTCTAGAACGAATTTTCTAGGTGTGGGACAAGGACGGAATGATACGAGAGACAGACGGAAGATCGGAATCTTCTCGAAGTTAGACCGAGCACTCTAGAACACCGTACGACAAGGACGGAGCAATGTGCGAGAGAGATAGCGAGTACGGACGTTCTAGAATTGTGCGATCGCTACTCAGTAGCGTTCCCGCCTAGAGAGTTCTCGAACATCGTTCAAGACTATTCCCAAGTTTTGAATGCGATATCAAGCGATAAACACCGAAGTGACAAAGTGCGAATATAGTGAAGACAAGTGATTAAGTACTGTGTGAAGTGCGTGTAATTAACGTAATTAGTGACAGTATTTCGTGTGTGTTTTCAGTGAATTTTAGTGCGTAATTTTCAGTTTTTAGTGTTAACAAATTCCTCGTAGATTTAATTGAAAATAAACCCTTGAAGAAATCTACGGCGTTTCTATCCGATCCCCTAGCTCGTAACACTATGTTACATTATTGTACTTACCCGCCAATACCACAAGTAAATTGCAGCCCATGGATCAGGGTATTATCAACAACTTTAAGGTTTACTACAGGAAGGAAGTTGTTCAGTATGTTCTTAAATCTATAGAAGAATAAAAGTCCAGAAATCAACATCCTCCAGGCCATGAGATTTGCAAGAAAACCTTGGTTTTCTGTTAGCAAAACCACAATTAGTAATTGCTTCCAAAGAGCTGGATTCAAAGTGACCAATGTATCTGAACCTGAGAGCCTACAAGAGGAGCTAGAGATTTGTGCAGCGTTTCCAGAATGGGATAGAATATTTACCACATGTAGGAATGACTTAAATGAACAGCAGGTGACTTTGCAGGATTTCGTTTCTATGGATGATAATGTACTCATTTCAGAGGAGCTCAATGATGATGACATAGTTTAGGAGATTTGTGCAGCGTTTCCAGAATGGGATAGAATATTTACCACATGTAGGAATGACTTAAATGAGCAGCAGGTGACTTTTCAGGATTTCGTTTCTATGGATGTACTCATTGAAGAGGAGCTCAATGATGTTGACATAGTTTCTATGTATTCTTCTTTGGACACAGAAGAAGAAGAAGACTGTGAAGAGACTCCAGTAAAAATTTCAAGGCAATGGAAGCTTTAGAAACTTTACAAAAGTATTTCGAAATGTCAAATATTGATAATTCTAATATTTTTGATCAAATTTATTCTATCGAGAAACAGGTTTCAGCAACTAGCAATAAAATACAAACAAACATAACCGATTACTTTAAGTCATAAACGTTACCGTATTTTTTTTTCGACGCAATACATTATATATGTACATTCATACCTACATTAAATTCATAACATCAAAAATACGCATTTTTATTAACATTTCCACCTCTAAAAATGGAATAACGGCACATTTCGACCTCTGTAAGCGGGGAATTCTGTAAATGAGACAACTATAAATTTAAACCTGTTTAATTGGAAAACTGGATTATTGAAAACCCTCAATAATTGGTACATATGTCTTTTCACTTCACAGGTTTCACTGTACTTAGTAGTTTTGGTTATGCTATGCATCGGAGCGACCTTGTTTGTTTGCAAATGTTTAGTTTATTTTTAAAACAAAATGCCAAAACCGCAATATACGCAAAAGTTCCGGGATTGATGGTTACGGGACTCCCAATTAAAGGACTGGCTGCAAGTGGTAGAAAGTACAGCTGGTCCAATTGCAAAGTGCAAATTATGTGGCTCTGTATTAAGAAATCATTAGGGAGATTTAAAGAATCACGGATTATCGAAAAACACTTGCAAAATTCAAAGGTACGTACGTAACTAATATAATATAAATTACGATGTGTCAACAATTTATATTAATATAGTTGTATTATATTATAAAAGTAAGTTGTATTATATTATAAATATGTTTTAGTTGTCTATATAGCCAACATCAACTTTCAAAGAATAAGTAGGCCCTTTTTAGAGTTCCGTATCCAAAGGGTGCCAACGGACCCTATTAATATGCCTCCGTTGTCCGTCCGTACGTCTGTCAGCGGGCTGTTATCTCATAAACCGTACTAGGTAGAAAGTTGAAACTTTCACAGAATATGTATTTCTGTTGCCGCTATAACAACAATTAATAATAATAAATGAAAGGGGGCTCCCATACAAAAGTGTTTATCACAAGCAATGCCATCTAGCGTTTATATGTGTAACTATAACTGACTGTCAAGTGTTAGCGATTACAAACTTAAAAAATTGCGGTTGGAAATTTGAATCCTTCTTTGGATTTTTTTTTTGCTTGAATGGTACGGAACTCTTCATGCGCGAGTCAGACTTGCACTTGACCGGTTTTTATTTTACATCTGCTTGTTATAGTTTACATTCCGTTTCTTTTACAGATTATAGCTACGCAACCAAAGTTGCCTTTTAAACGAGAAGGCGTGGGAAAAAAGAAAAAAGAAGCTAGGCTAGCATTATTCACAGCGGCACATACCAGCCTACGTGTAGTAGATCATATGAGAGAAGTGGTTAATCACATTCACATGCACAAAGAGGACGAAACATTGAAATAGGATTTAAACATTTACATAGGACAAAATGTTCTCAAATTATAAAAAATGTGCTATCACCCCATTTCGCAGAAAACTTAAAAGAAGAATTGAAAGATCAACCCTATAGTTTATTGATAGACGAATCGACCGATATTTCCGTTCACAAAAGTCTGGGAATAATAATAATTAATTACAGCTGCAGTAACAAAAAAAAAATGTCTACATTTTTAGATCTTCCAATGCTGAACGAGTGTGATGCAGACGGGATTGTTGGTACCATAAAAGCGACACTCGCTAGATTCAATATACCTCTACAAAATTTAATGGGCATCGGAACAGATAATGCTTCCGTGATGACCGGCGTCAATAACGGTGTATTGGTATACGGTAACGGTGGTGTAAACTGAAAAAGGATTTGCCGAGTTTAGTTTTGGTGCGTTGCATTTGTCACTCTCTGCAATTGGCAGTATCAGCAGTAACAAAGCAATTTTTACCGAGAAATCTCGAGTTTATTTTTAAAGAAACATATGATTGGGTCAATCGTTCTTCGTCAAGGCAAGTGGCTTACAAAGAACTATACAAACTTATAAACGACGGTCATGATCCATTAAAAATTGTACAGTCTTGTCAAACTCGATGGCTTTCTATAGAGTCCGCAGTTGCACGCATTTACGCACAATGGTTGGAACTGAAAACACATTTTAATATGGCCAAATTGAAAGAAAGGTGTTACACAGCAGAATTGCTGCATAGAATGTATTCAGATGACGTGAATTATGCGTACATTTCATTTATGTATCCAATTCTGACTGAAATTAACAGAGTGAATAAATTATTTGAATCGAAAGATGCAGATCAAACAAAACTGTACGACGAAATGACAAAATTTAGTTGATTCAGTTGTTGCCAAAATAGTACTGCCGACCCAGAAGGTAGACGTTTTTACGCAAAACATTCAAGATTTCGTTGATAAGAAATGTTATTTGGGGTACAGATTCGAATCTTTTATGTCAACGATGAGAGAAAAAGGATTTCCACGGAATGAAGAAGAAATGATACGTAATAGGGTGCATCCAGTTTATGGTGCAGTTGGTTAATGAACTGAAAAACAGATTGCCCGAAAACTTAAATCTCATGAAAAATATGAAAAGAATCAGTGTAGATTGTGCACTGTCTCACAATAAAGAGCCGATCACTGACCTGATCTTACATTTTAATAAAAATCAATAATACATAGCGAAAGTTGACGAGCAGTGGCGTCAAATCCATTTACTCAAATGAATAAATACAAAAAATACCAAGGAATTTTGGTACGAGGTGCTGGATTTTGAAGACATTGCAGGAGAAAACCGATTTGAAGATTTAGCCACGTTTGCTATATCTTTATTAGTTTTACCGCACTCTAATGCTGAAGTAGAGCGATTATTCAGCATGATGAATACCGTGAAGACAAAACACATAAACCGAATGAAGCTAGATCTACTGTCATCTATTATGACAATCCGCGCAGGTTTAAAACGCGAAGGAAAGTGTTGCAATAATTACATCTTGCCAAATTCTGTAGTCCAGAAAATAGGAACGAAAGAAGTGTACTTAAAATCAGAAGGTGCAGAGGAAACCGACTCTGCTGAAGATGATTTTTAACGATTTTGTATGTCTTGGTTGTTTTGTAATGAAAATAAACTAATTTTATAATTCAATTTACAATATTGTTCTTTTATTGTCAAAAAATATATCCTAGCTGTATGCTATCCATCTAAAGTAAAGAGCGACATAGACTACTGTTTACTTCAGTAAAACATGTGTTTCCCGCGGAAAAAAAAAATAGTGCTCGCGGGCTGCTTGTCTAACCTCTTCCTATCTGCGGACATAAAAATCACATCGATCCTATATTTCCTTTGGGCGTGAAAGAAGGATAAATAAACAAACACACTTACATTTATAATATTAGTTAGTGTGGATATTAGTGGTTTTCTGTTGGGTTGCGACGGTAAAATTGGTGGGTTCGTTAAAATTAAGTTGGCAACACTGGGCCTTACTAATGATGAATACATCACCCTAGTGGCAGTGTCCGTCAGACTATCTGAATTTCGCAGGACAAACCCTAATCTCCTAAATGCAGCATCCGAAATCGTCCGAATATGCTCCGCAAATGAAAGATTGGGCACAAACATTTGTGTTATATTAGTTGACCTGCATGTTATCTTATTCAAACCAATAAAAGACATACCTACATGTTAACTTATTAGACTGTTTACTTTTCTAGCTGCTATTGGTTAGGACAATAACGATGAAAGCTGGAGACCAAAGAGGGTAAGAGTGTCCAGTATAGATGCCACATTTGAATATATAAATCAGTCAGGAACAATCCAGGACTGGACTGAAGAAGCTGGGTTGATGGAAACCGGTGTTGAGGTCACCACTGAAAGTGAACCCTATCAGCTACACAATCAGCAAGCAGAAAAAATAAAACTTCACTTGAAGACATTAAAAAAAATTGCTGTGGCAAGAGTTGGACAACCACAAAAAAATGAGATAGAAGTGGAACATATGAAATTAAAAAATCAGTTAGAAATAGAATTTCTTCAACAAAAATATAAATTAGAATTAAAATTTTTATACCTAGTTAAAAAAAGAATCAGAAAATAAAAAATTAAAATTGAACAAGTTTTTGTTTTATTTTCTTTATTACCAAACCAATTACCTAGTTGAATTGTGCAATAACAGATTTCCGGAATGTAGGAGATATTTCATTGTTTTGGTGTCTGATCAGCAAGATCACCATCGTCATACCACGTCTCTGTATACCCATACAGAGAGGGGTTGCTAGGTAGGGTAATGGGAGTTAGCGGGTAATGGGAGTCACCCTCACATCCACGAAACAGTACTTGCGAGCAACGCATAAACGTCGTCCCCGGTGCGCGTGAGCACCATCCAAATAACCCCGTGTTTTGTTTTTGTGCTCCGCTGATCTAATTTTACGTCAACACAAATTAGAAGGTAAATATCGAAATCTTGCATTATACGAATAATACGATTATATGGTCTTAGTTAAAAGTTGGAAATTGTGATGTGCAGTTCAGATTACCTCAGTGTTTTAAAGTTTCTTTTCTCAATAGTGTAATTGTGGGAAATGACATTTCAACTGTGCATTTTGCATTAAGTCATTTTTGTTTCTTTCTAGATGGCGAAATTACGAGTTAGCTGGTCTTTTGATAGCCTAAAAAAAGCTATAAAGCTTATTGATGGTGGTTCTTCTATGAGAAATGCTGCTAAGGTATTGGGGATCCTATTTTCAAGCCTTCAAAAGAGGATAAAAGAAGGTTCTGCCTCAGCACCACGTCTTGGACGATTCACTGTCTTTAGTGCTGAGACAGAAGCCGAGCTAGCAAACTTGGTGAAGAAAATAGCAAACATGTTTTATGGTTGCACTGCTAATCAAATAAGTGACTTTCGAATATGCTGAAAAATTTAATATAAAGCTTAATTTTGATCAATCCTCCACAATGGCTGCACGGGATTGGTTGCGTGCATTTAAGACTAGGCATAACATTTCTATTAGTAAACCGGAGACGACCAGCATCTATTGATCTTTAAATAACAGCTTTTAATAAAACTGAAATAAACATTTCAAGCCTAAATAAGCATGCTTTGAGCTACTTGGCCAGCTGATGGAAAAGCATAGATTTGTTCTAAAGAATATTTATAATTGTGACGAAACAGGCATTTCAACAGTCCAAACTCCTGCAAAAATTCTGGCTACCAAAGGACAGAAGAGAGTGGATCTATAACCAGTTGGGAGAGAGGAAAAAACCTCACTTTGTTGTGTGCTATGAACGCAGCAAGCGGTTACATTCCACCGATCTTTATTTTACCTGGGTTTTGGTTGACTCCTCTGCTAGAGAAGGATGGTCCAGCAGGAGCGCTTTACAAATGCTCTGTCAACGGTTGGATTAAAGAGAATCTCTTTCTTGAATGGTTGGTGCACTTTGTGCCAAGCCATCTGGAGATGAACCCATCCTTTTAATACTAGACAACCATGCTAGTCACATTTCTCTTTCCATTTACGAATATTGTAAATCCAATCACATTTATATGACTTTCAAAACGTGATATGTCACAAAGTAAAAAAAAAAATGTTAAGAATGCCATCTTCTTCTAGTCTATGGATCGCTTGATTTGTAAAAGAAAAGTTCGCTCGAAACGTGTCTATTTCTATGTATTTCCTTCGAGTAAAAGTGGTGGTAAAAACAAAACGTGTTCTGTTCCCTGCCAGGAATCGGTCAAAAAATGTTTTGTCCAAACAACCAATCACAGTCGAGCCGACGCCATTTTGACATTTTGACAAAACACATTTTGAATGAATCACTCATAAAATTGACATTAAATTTTTTCGTTACTGAACTTTTGAGTTTTAAAATGGAAGATCTCGACGAAACGGATACTGTCGAAGTGCAGGAAAGTAATAGTGGAAGCCGTAAGAGACGTGTTACTGGTGGAAAACGAGTTGCAGCTAAAACGGCGAAGTATTCACGACTCCACAATAGTAATGTCATCAACCTTTGTGCTCACAACACGACAGCCTTTCGTTGCTCAAAAGTCACACCAAATCAAGTCGCAAAAGTTCGAAAAAGCTTGTGTTCGGTTCCCGAGAAACTTGCACAGGATGTGATAATTTCATCCTTGATCCAGAATCAAGAAGTGAAGAGAAGGAGGCCCCGAGAATAACCCAACAAGAAAGCAGTATCAAATCATCAATACAATGTTAAATACTTCGTAAGTGCTGATTCTCAGAGGGTGCCGGTTTGCAAGAAGTTTTTTTTAGAAGTAACTAAGGTGGGACGGACTAGATTTCAAAACATTGCAAAGAAACAGTTTCATGCTGAAATTATTTGTGAAAACAGAGGAGGAGACAGGAAAAGCCATTTAAGCCGGGAAAAGAAAGAAAGCGTGAAAATGTTTATCAGTAAACTTCGAGGCACTGAGAGCCACTATGGAAGAAATAAGTCTAAAAGAATCTATTTGACGGCTGGCCTGAACATATAAAAATTACATAAAATGTACAACGAGAATACCACGGATGAATCAAAAGTGAAACTATCAATGTTCAGAAGAATTTTTGTCAATAACTACAATATTGGTTTCAAATCACCAGCTACCGACGTGTGTAGCTATTGCACAATACTACAACACAAAATAAAATCATTTCCTATAGGGTCAAAGGAAAGAAATTACTTCAGTATGGAAAAAAGAATTCACAGGAAGAGAGCGAATGCATTTTATCAGCTAATGAGACAGGACATAGATGATTCTGTCAGCTACTGTTTTGACTTACAACAGATCCAACCCCTGCCAAAAACACCCGTGCAGGAGGCATACTATTTAAGACAAATCGGATTTTACAACTTCTGTATAGTGGATTTGAAAGGCTTGAACCCAAAATTTTACTGCTGGTCAGAGGAACAAGCCGGAAAAGGAAGTACAGAAATATCATCTGCTTTGTTACATTTCCTTATGAACACTGACTTTCAATGCAGAATTTTAAGACTGTTCAGTGATGGATGCGTCTCCCAAACCAAGAATAATATTGTAGTTCGCACTATTATGTTCTTCATTAGGACTCAAACTACATCACCGCTTAAAGAAATTCATATGCACTTTCCAACCCGTGGGCACTCATTTCTTCCAGCAGACAGGGTGTTTGGCAGAGCCGAAAAAGTGTTGAGAAATAAGCCGACTATTATTGTAAAAGAGGAATACATGGAAATTTACAAAAACCTGGGACAATTGTACATACTAGGACAGGACTGGAAACTACCTAAAAAATATAAGCAATATGAAGAGGATTTTTTTCAAAGTCAGCGAGGTCCATGGTAATTGATCTGTCAGAGTTAGAGCAATGGAAAACTTTATCTACGAGGGAGATGAATCCTATAAAAGTCTCAATAAGAAGTCATGCACCAATAATATGTTACGCAGAATGGAACCACAAACATTGCCTCTAAGAACTGATGAAAAGAAGAAAGATGTTGACAAATTACTGCAGGCCGTTTTTGGAAACTGGCAAGAGCTAGACGACAACCGCTTCAATTGGTACAAAGAACTCCTTTTCAATGCTCCAACTGTTGCGGAGGAAATAAATGAAGAGAATGAATGTGATTGCCTAGATGAAGAACAGTGTGTTAGAATTTAAGATACCAGTAATTGTGAAGCTAAAATAAAACATTGCCTAACATTATTATTTGTTTTAGTACCCATTAATTGTTTATTAAATTAATCCATACTTGAAATACCACTTAGTATTGTATGGACAAAACACATTTTGACTGCTACTTTTTAACGTGTTTTCAGTTCAAAACATGTTTTGTCCACAAGGTTCATGCAAAACGTGTTTTGTCCATTTTTAAATCGTTGAAATAATAATATACAAGCCAAATTTATTTTTAATTATCTATGACAACCTAATAATATCATTCAGTAGAGTCCACTTCCTCTTTATGCACAAAATAATCAACAAAAAGTTTTCTCAATTTTGTCAAAATAAAAAAGTGCATTTTTCTCGGTTCCGTAGCTGAAGGACAAATCACGTTTTGAAAGTTACCTCCTCAATTGTTGTCTCTGCCACCACACACGTCACACAGAATGCAACCTTTGGACGTTTCTTTCTTTGGTCCGCTCAAAATAACCTATAAAAAAATAATGTAACTTTTTTTTTAAAAGCCATCTATCCGAAAAGATAACCCCCTATGACGTAGCATCAATGGTGACGAAAGCATTACCGAACGATTATAATTACGGTACCAAAATACACTGTAATACCCATTGAAGGTTGTATTTTTTTAAATCATACATTGATTTTCGTTTTATTCTCCTGACAATACTGTTTTATGCATCGGGGAATCCCCTAATAGCGTGATTCCAACTGGAAGATATTACGCGAACGAATTCGGTAGAGCTGTATGTATTTAAATTTCTATGAATTCTTTTTTGTCTCTACCACATTCGAATGCTGAGTGTGAAAGAGTTTTCAGCAGTGTTAACAACATCAAAACGAAAAAACGGAATAAACTTCTCACAAAATCCATCAAGGGTAATCTTTTACCGCAGACACGGAAAAACCTGTATTAATTTTAATCCATCTCCCTCTATGATTGAAAAACATAATAATGATATGTATAAAAATATTGAAACAATTATACTGTCTAATTCTGATTTAAAATATGTCTTATTTTTCAACTCTGACTCTTAACATACTAAAAAATTAATAGGGTAATTCTACCGTATTTCAAACAACAATAATATATCAATACAACATAATTTCGGAAAATCTACCATATTTTTAGAAGCATTCTACCATCCGCTAGCTTTCAGACTTAGCAACACTATGACTGGTCGATATTTATCGCGTCAGTATTCATTCTGCAAGAAAAAGAGGAGGACGCACATTGAGGCGGCCCCGCCGCATGTCAAACAAACGATCAAAAACACTTGAAAGAATTCATTGTTGTATTAAAAACACTACCTGAGGTATGAGACAGCTCAAATGCAAACAGTATTAATAAAGTGAAAAGGGCGAATGCGTTTGAGCAGCTCCTTGAAATTAATAAGAAATTTAAACCAGGCGTGACAACTAAAGATCAACTCATTAAAATCTAACTACAGAAAATTATTAAAATAAATAACAGATTCGAAGCGATCTGGTGCTGCAGCGGAAAATGTTTACAATCCAAAGTCTTGGGTATTTCACATGCTGAATTTTTTGAATAAAAATGAAAAGCCGATTTATATGGTAAGGTTTTTATTTTATATATATATTATACATAACTTAAAAATTACATTTTATTGGCGTTATAATAGTGACAGAATACACTGCTTATTTTTTGGTTAGGTTAGCACAAAGTACGGTTAGCCAAAAAAATCCAAATTGTTGTTTTAAACATCTGTATTTGTGATGGAGCCGTTCTTGAAAAGGGGTTTTCAGTGGAAAGCGTCAAAACGTCTCACAAAAATGAATTCAGCTTTTTTCGCATTGTTTTATGAAGTTTTTTTCCTTTTATAGGTACTCAGCAAAATCATTACCTGACTAAAAATACAAATGCGGTGCTCTATCAATGCAGGATATCAGAAAATTCCATGAAGAGTTTTATCGTCATCCGAATAAAAAAGACCAAGACAGTTTTCTCCTGAAACATTGCAAGGTAGGAAAAACAAAGCGACGTCGCCCAAGAGTAGGAGTCCGAAAACCAACGGAATTCATTACAAAATTGTATGCTCGAAAAAAACCTCCCCAAAACTGATTCCAGTTTGTCAAAAAACATTTTTGAATACACTGAAAATAACTGTGCACAGAATTCGGAGTGAAAGGTGTTTGCTACTATGGGTACAGTGGTCCAGGCAAAAAAGGGGAGGCGACCATAGGTCTGCAAAAAATGCACACAGGCTTGCAGCAGTAAAAAAATTTATTGAAAGTTTCCAGTGTTTGGAATCGCACTACTGCAGGTCAAGTACGATTGTCAGAAAATATTTACATGCCGAGCTAAACATAAAAAAAAATGTGGCGCATGTATAACAATAACACCCAGTGTGATGCCGAAGACCTGAAAGTACGGCAATGTTATTTCAGGAGAATTTTCAATAAGTGTGTTTTCAGACTTAACTGGCGCGCACTCTACTCAATAGTTTACCCGCAGACAAAAAACGTGAGCCTACACTGGCTAAATTAAAAGTTTATTAAAAAAAACACTTGTTAAATATGTACTTTGTAACCATTTACGTAAATTGTTTTAATATAAATTATTTAATAATTTATAAGCTATGTTTTTATAAAGCGAGTTACCTGCAGTTAAACTGCGTAAGCAGTTTTACGGGGCATGGTGCAAATTAAAGTGTAACTTTTTATGAATAAATATATTACATACATAAGGACTTAGGTCTTAGGGCACATGTCTTTTGTCAAAAACAAGGTTTCGGAGATTGGGTATTATTTACCTACATCATTGTGTAACCCGGGAACATTCGGAAACTACAAAACTAGGTACGTGTTGTATTCAATGGGTCCGCAAAGACAACGGGACTTAGACAAACGATGTAATGTATACAGGTCCCAACCTACAAAAAGACTTACAATCCCTTATATTAAAGTGGCGAAGATTTCGATATCGATCAAGGCAGACGTGGAGAAAATGTTTAGAAATATTTACATTTTTGGGTGTGATTGGAAAATGCAAAAAAATATTTTGCGAGACACACAAATTCATACTTTACAGGAAAACGAACTGACAACCGTAACATACGAGGGGAGGTCCAAAAGTTCGTGGAATGGAGGGGATGGAGTGGGGATAGGGGCGCTCGCTTAGTGTCATACTAATTGGGGACTCATAATTAGTATATAAATGGAGTTTCAGCCCTATTGCGTCATTCGTTTACGAACACTCGCCTGCTAAACACGTCAATCCGGAAGAAAACTGAAACTATGGAGAAAATTGAACACCGTGCTGTCATTAAATTCCTTACCAAGCAAGGAAAGAACGCTCAGACCATTTTGAATGAAATGGAAACTGTTTACGGGGAACAGTGCCCTAGTAAATCAATGATTTACAAATGGCATGGTCTTTTTAAACATGGTCGGGAGTCGATTGAAGACGACCCCCGCTCAGGAAGGCCAGTTGAGGCCACCACATCAGACATCGTAGAAAAAGTGGAAAAAATTGTACTGGAGGACACCCGTTTGAAGAAAAAACAGTTATCTGCATTAGTTGGAGTATCAGATACCACAATTTTGCGAATCCTACATGACCACCTGGGTATGACAAAAGTCAGTGCAAGATAAGTACCTAGAATGCTCACGCCGCTTCAAAAACAGCAGCGCGTCGAAGCGTCAAAACATTTTTTGGAGTTGTGTAGCGACGATCCTGGATCGATTTTGGAGCGAATTGTTACCGGCGATGAAACATGGGTTCATCACTTCGAGCCTGAGTCCAAACAAGAGTCCATGCAATGGCATAAAAGGGGACACCACCGCCAAAGAAATTCAAAGTGTCGGAGTCGGCTGGAAAGTTGATGGCTACTGTTTTTTGGGATTGTGAGGGGATAATACTGATTGATTATAAAGAAAAGGGCAGGACCATAACCGGAGAATACTACGCAACAATACTAGAAAAATTAACACGTTCGTTGCATTACGAGATCTATCAGATCTCTTGCAGGACTTTTGTATTGTGCGTTGAACATAATCGTGTTTTTTCACTCCTTGCGGGAGGATGTAACTTGTAAAGTTCTTTAAGGATGAGCAGGACAAATGTACATATTTGCTTCCTACTTAAAGCTGAATTCAAGGACTTTAAAAAATAAATTAGAGATGGATTAGGTCCCTAACGCACAGTACTGTAATTGTTTTAATTCCTTGCGTTAGGAGATATGTCGGTACTCGTGAAATCGTACACCTCGTAGACGCAAGAGATGGAGGATGGGATTTTTAGTGTTGTCCTAGAATCGACATTCGGGAAGTCGCGGGCACGTTTTGAAAATAACACTCGCGTATATACCAGCGTGTTGATTATTTTTGATAAACAATGAGTGATTAAGTTTAAAAGAAAAAAGTGTAAAAAATCTATTTTATTGGTGAGGTTTCTAACAAAAAATCAACGCCGGATTATACTGCTGCATCGCCCAGTAAAATAATTTTTTTTTGGAAAATGTTCAAATTTGCCCCCCATTGACTAATAATGACAGTGATTCTGATTATGAAATATTTAACGATAAACCTTTTTCGTTGGAGCACACGCAGTTAAACAGCACTGACGCTTCTAAAAAAACTAAACGAATTGTTACCATTTGCGCGTAATGTGCAAGCAATCAATGTGCTTACCATGTTTTAATGAAAAACACTTTGCATAATTAATAAAACTTTTAGAATCGATAACTGAGATATTATTTTATTCCCATCACTACTTACTACACATATTGAACTATCTTCGGGTGCGGTACGAGATACAATCGATATCTAATTTTTTTTTGGTATTTGTAGTCTATTCAAATGTCGTAACTGCGTGCGAACCTAGCAAAATATAAAGCAATTAGCTATCTTTCACCCACAAAAAATTCAAAATATATGTCATTGTTTTTTTGGAAGAAATAAATTATTTTCAAAAGTATATTTTTAGGAGACTGATTAGGTCTCAAACGCACCAGAGGATAGGCTTGTTACGAGATCTTTTAGGTCTCCAACGCACCAGCTGAAAGTTCTTTAAAAATGATGGCGCAGTGAACGTGTTAAAGGATGCCATCAAAGAAAAACGTCGGGGAAAATTGACCAAGGGTGTGTTGCTCTTGCAAGACAACGCGCCGGTTCACAAGAGCAAAGTTGCAATGGCTGCTCTACACACGCATGGCTTCGAATCACTAGTCCACCCACCCTATAGTCCAGATCTGGCCCCAAGTGATTTTTATTTGTTCCCCAATTAAAAAAAGACTTAAGGGGAAGGAAATTTTCCGACGACAATGAGGTAAAGGAGGCAATTTTGGCTCATTTTGAGGGAAAAGATAAAAAATATTTTTACGATGGTTTAGAAAAATTAATTCATAGATCTAATAAATGTATTCAGCTTAAGGGTGATTATATTGAAAAGGAAAAATAAATTTACTGTTTCATTTTTACTAAAACCCTTTCATTCCACGAACTTTTGGACCTCCCCTCGTATGGCACAAAGGCGGCGCCCTTTTTAGCCATGATGGCGTTAAAGCAGCTAGCTATAGATGAGAGACCTCGGTTTCCACGGGCTCCGGAAATTACAGAGGAAGCATTTTATACAGATGACTTAATATGTCGCCCATTCTATAGAAGAAGGATGCAGCATGGTAACGGAGTTACAGGATCTGTTGCAGGCATTACATTAAGAAAATGGGCTTCCAACGAACCAAATATATTGAAAAAGCTTACGTTTAAAGGGGATCTTATTTCAAAAACATTAGGGGTATACTGGAACCCGAAAGAAGAATGCTTTATGTTTCAAATTGAAACTTTCAATCGTCATTTGACTTCTCGAATAAGACGACCAAAAGAGCGCCTTTGTAAGATATATCGAGGCTATTTGATCCACTGAGTTGGTTAGCTCCTGCAATTACGGCTATGAAAATAATTTTTCAAGTGTGGAAGCAAAACATTAATTGGGATGATCATTACCTACTTCTATTATGAGAAAATGGAAGCAACTTAAGGAAGAATTACATGGATTTTGTGATGCATCAAATAAAGCATATACCGCAGTTATTTACTGTCGCATAAACACCAACGCTTCGTTGGTGGCGGCCAAAACAAAATTGGTACCCGTTAAGGGGGAGATGGTTAGTTTCAGGACGTCAAATAGTAAACATCATAGTTGTACAGCACCCGATAATATTGTGCTTTGAAAAATATTTACGCTCACTTGTTGCGCTCAACATCACGAACTATACTGGCGGACTCATAACCTGCATCAAACTTCAGGATTACTTTGAAATGATTTTTTTAATAAGTATGCAAACTTTTTAGATTAAATTATATAAATATGGAGAGACTGGCCCTTAATCTTAACCCTTAAGGTGTCTGCCCACTATCCCGTAGCATACCATGACCGTACTAGGACCGTTTCAGACAAAAACTATTCTATTCTTTGTATGAGACTATACCCACTAGACCAGTCATGGGCAAAGTACGGCCCGCGGGCAAAGTGCGGCCCTCGGGCTAGTCTGATCCGGCCCGCGACACGATTTTGATTAACCCCTAAAATTAATTGCACATAGAAAGTGATATTTTTTTTGTGCAGCTATAATAGTTAACGGGAGCCTTAGGTATGGTATTATCGCATCTAACACTAACTGAGTTTGCATCGCGTGTTTTCTTTCCGTATAAAATGTATGTATATCGGTAGTATGGCGATTTAGTGCGATGCGTGTGGCCTGTCCTGTAGATCGTTCGGTGTTGCTCGGTCAAGTTCGGGATGAATCAGCGCTAGCAATATTGTTTTGTCCGTCGGCTGTTCTCAAGGTCAGTGTAGTTCAGACAGTCACGTAGGCCACGTCACCTCTGCAACTCTTAGACTGACTTGTATTTATATAGTTGAGTTTGTCGGTAGTGTGCTTTTTGACCGGTACAATGGCAACTAAAAAACGTAAAGTTGATTCAGAATGTCGTGTTTTTAAAGATGAGTGGACTTGGAAATACTTTTTTACACCTATTAAGAATAAACCTGTGTGCCTAATTTGGAATGAAGCTGTAGCCGTATTCAAGGAATTTAACCTCTCTCGACATTTCATGACAAAACATAACAACGCCACTTATGAAAAGATGACTGAAAAAGAACGGAAGCAAAAATCAGGAGCTCTACGTAAGCAAATATCAGGTCAGCAAAATATTTTTTAAAGCAGAACAGCTCTCAAAAGCTTGCTACAGGTGCCAGCTACGAGTATGTTGTAGCATACAATATTGCTAAAAGTAACAAAACATTTTCTGATGGCGAATTTGTAAAAACATGTTTACTTCAAGTAAGTGATATTTTGTGTCCTGATCAAACAAGAGATTTTGAAGCAGTAAGTGTGTCCCGAAAAACAATTACGTCTAGAATTGAAGCTATTAACAAGCAGTTTGTAACACAACTAGAATCAAAGATAAGCACGTTTAAATTCTGTTCTTTTGCGTTGGATGAAAGCACCGACATAACTGACACAGCTCAGTTACTGATATTTATAAGAGGTATAGATGACAACTTTGGTGTTACTGAAGAATTAGCCTTCATGCGTTCATTAAAGGGAACGACAAAAGGATCAGACATTTTTGAAGAATTTCAAGAAACTATCACATCTTTGAAAGTACCTCTGACCACTATTTGTAACATTACTACTGACCAGCGTTGCCAGACGTCCCGATTTTGGCGGGACGTCCCGATTATTAAATCAAAATGAAATGTCCCGCGCGGGACAGGCTTAGTCCCGCTTTTCGGGAATAACTCGATAGCAATAAGAAGTGTGAACTACCACCACCGCACAATAATGGATTATGGAACCAACTCTTTCAACAGTATCCAAAAAAAAATACCAGGATTATCTTCAAACTTTATATTAAGTATCCTACCATCAAACTGCTTTCCAAAACGCCTTTCATTTTGAAATGCTTCGTAAATTTAATGAAATCAGAGTTACTCATCAAGTTTAATCTGCAGCTAGAAGAGTTCTTCGTCTTTTTTAAAGAGAAAAATGAAACTTTTAAAGAAGTTATATCTTCATAGAAATATTATGAATAAGTAATTCTTATAAATAATTATTACTGTCTTATTGTAAGTTGTAATTTAAAACACTCACTCTTCAGAGTATTGTTTGAGACGCCATATTTTTCTAATAAATAAAACTTTTTTTATTTTGATTTTTTTGTTTTTTAATCAGAAGATGAATAAGAACTATTTAACGATAGGTTTAATCTGATTTAAATACATTTTCTGTGACTATTTTCGTTGTCTATTGTCACGCGAACGTGATTTGAACTCAATTAAAAACATAAATATTTAAAAACTTCTGATTATTATTTTTTTTATGTCCCGCTTTCGACAAATGAATCCCGCTTTTTTCACTTTAAAAGTGCCAAAATCCCGACTTGACTAAAAAGAAATCTGGCAACGCTGCTACTGACGGAGCACCAAATATGACAGGGGCAAAATCTGGTTTTGTAGGCAAATTTAATGAATCATTTCCTGGGAACGAAGTGGTGTTTCTTCATTGTATCATCCATCAAGAAACTCTGTGTAAATCTGCTCTAGAAATGAAACATGTGCTTGATGTTGTTATTAAAATTGTTAATAGCATTCGTTCGCGAGCACTCAACCATAGGCAATTTCAAGAGTTTCTTTACTCATTGCAGTCAGAATATTCTGACGTACTTTACTACACCAAAGTAAGGTGGCTCAGTGCAGGGCGGGTTTTTGACCGAGTTTGGGATCTAAAAGACGAAATTATCTCTTTTATGGAAGAAAAAGGAATGGACGAGTGTGATCATTTGAAAGATATGTTATGGCTTTCAGACTTTGCATTTTTTACAGATATTTTTAGCCACATCAATAAATTGAACCTTAAACTCCAGGGAAGAAATCAATTGATTCATGATACTTGGGGTCATATCAGGGGTTTCAAACTGCAGTTAAATCTATTTTCCAAACAACTACTCAAGAAAGACTTCACTCATTTTCCAAGGTTAAAATCCATTGCAGTTACAGAAGACAAAGTTAAGAGCTATGAGAAACACGTAAAATGCCTTCATGAAGAATATGGACGAAGATTCCAAGACTTCAAAGCTATCGAACAGGACCTGGAGATTTTTAGAATGCCATTTAATTTGGATTGTGAATCAGTTAAACCAGAACTGCGGCTCGAACTAATTGAGTTGCAATGTAACACTGAATTGAAACAACTATTTCTCAATGTTTCGAAGATTGAGTTCTACAAGGCCCTGTCAAAAACAACTTTTCCAAACCTGAAATCTCACGCTCAGAAGATAATTTCGATGTATTCCTCTTCTTACATCTGTGAACAGGTGTTTTCTACTATGAAGCTTCGCAAAAACAGTGTTAGAAACCGATTGACTGACCATAATTTAGCTTCACTACTGCGAATCAGCTCGTCTCAGTTTCTACCAGATTATGATCAACTTTTAGAATCTCAGTCACAGTTTCATCTGTCTCATACGCCTTCATGCTCTTCTAAAGATTAATCATTTTTTGTGACTTGTTTGGAAGTTTTTACCATTTTAGTATATAAGTTGTGTATGATGTAAAATTAAACAATAAAAAGGTTTAGGCCTATAACTTTTTTTTTTTTTATTGGCCCGCCTCTAAATTTTTAAATTTCATCTGGCCCTCCTTTTAAAAAGTTTGCCCATCACTGCACTAGACCGTTCCGTCACCGGCCGACACCGTAGCGTGCCATGCACGGGCCGTCAACTATTCGTCGGAGGGAATATTTTGCCGGTGCGGACACGCTACGTGCATGGCACGCGACGTTGCCAGACCGCTGCGCGCAGGCGGCTAAACGGTGACTGAGCGGGGAGTATGACCGTTACAAACCCGTTTTAAATGCGTTGTAGCAGTGTTGCTCTGTTGCCAGTCCGTTCATTAGTTCAACGAGAGGCGTGAATGCTTATAGATGTGTAAAAATGGAGGACGAAAAACTAATAGAATGTGTACGTAAATATGAGTTTATATATAATTTACAACATCCGAAGAAGTATATGGATAGTGTAAAAAAAGAAATGGCTTGAAAGCTCGCACCACCTAACTTTGCTACAGCTACACCACCGTATGCCTATGCTTCATCTCCAGCATCGACTTCTTCGAGCGTACAAGCGAGTGCTACACCTATGCCTCCGTCTCCTGAGCTTTGGAACACTACCGAGTAGAATAATAATAATAAAGCATAAAGCTTTACCATGAATACTAGATCAAAAGTTTCATTAATAAGATTTTTCGTATTCAATATTTCATCATTTTTGTCCCTAATATAAGAAATCAAAAACCTAAAAAGGTTTGATTAATTAAGAAATATTTTAGTATTTTTTATTTACGAGGGGTGATCCAAAAGTAATGATAATCGGTTATTTGTAGAGCATATAAAAATATGAAAAACATTGTTTTAGCTTCATATATCCACTAGTTCAGCATAAAAAAATCATATAAATATGCCACGATTTCCGGGAGGTACGTTCATTTGAATACTAACAGACGGAAAGTAAACATCAAAATGGAGAAAAACTAAATCAGAGCTGTCATAAAGTACTTCTGTTTGAAAAAAATACAGCGACCTTGTGGAAACATTGGGGGACTCTGCTCCTCCATATTCCACAGTTGCTCGCTGGGCAAAGAAGTTCAAGCTGGGTAGAACATCCACAGAAGATGAACATCGCGAGGGACGCGTCGCGACGCATCCACGTCCCTCAATGCGGAAAACGTTACAAAAGTCGAAGATGTCGTATTAGCAAATCGAAGAGTGACCTTAAGGCATGTAGCTGAGATCACAGGGATCTCATATGGCAGTGTTCAAAGAATCTTTGCAAACGAGCTGCATATGAAAAAGATCTCTGCGCGTTGGGTGCCGAGAATGTTAACCGACGAGCAAAAGAAAAATCGAGTAGACATTTCGAGGGTGAATCTCGAAAAGTTCCAGACGGATCAGGAAATTTTTTTGTTTCGTTTCGTGACCATGGATGAGACCTGGATCCATCATTTTGATCCGGAAACTAAACAACAGTCAAGGAATTGGAAACGAGCCTCTTCCCGACGCCGAAGAAATTCAAGGTGTCAAGTGTAGCATCTATCGCCTACCTGCTATTACGAACATTAATAAATCAGTCTGTCTTCCGAGCCCGCCTTTTATTGACGTATCAAAGTTCGGCAGGAAAGGTTATGGCGTCCGTTTTTTGGGACGCCGAAGGAATTATAATGGTGGAATACTTGGAAAAAGGAGCCACTATTACAGGCTCTTACTACGCAGACCAAATAAGAAGATTGCGGGAGGCCATCAAACAAAAAAGACGAGGCAAACTCAGAGCTGGAGTGTTGTTCCACCAAGACAACGCACCGTCTCACAAAGCCGCCGTTGCGATGGCTGCCATTCAAGAAACGGTATTCGAATTTCTCGAACACTCGATTTGACGACGATAGCGAGGTGATGACTGCTGTAGAGATGTTTTTCGAGGGTCAAGACAAAGAAGTTTTTTCAAAGGGAATTATGGGTTTAGAAAAAGATGGACTAAATATATTGACTTGCTAGGAGACTATGTAGAGAAATAAATTTTTTTTTTACTTAAAATATCCTTATTTCATATTGATTATCATTACTTTTGGATCACCCCTCGTACCCTTAAAAGCTACAACAACCATTAATCGATATCAACTCATCTCATCAACATCGAGAGCCGACAGTCAGCTACAGCAACAACCTCGACGGGATGTTTACATTATCCATTCTCAAGATATTAAATATTCTGTAAGTCTTTAGTCACATTTATCTTAAATTATTATTTTTTCTATTTTGTTTTTGTAAGTTCTGTGGTTATTATATTTTGTGTATACCTGTTATATATAACGTAAAAAATTTAAGGCCGAACACTAAGCCCGGGTGGTACCAAACCCGAAGTCTGCATCACTGACACAGAAGATGAAAACGCTCTTCTTCCCCCTATTGGGCCTATCACCAGATCAAAAAAGGAAACCTTCACCTACAACATTACAAAATAAAACCGAATTAGAGTAATCAATTCTACTTAAATTCATTAAACCATTCGATGGTTCCAGAAACAAATTAAATTCATTCCTATCAAACTGTAACAATGCTTACGAATTAGCTTCAGAAAATCAAAAGGAAATTTTATTTAAATTGATCTTATGTCAATTAGAGGTAAAAGCAGACACAGCATGTTCCATAAAAGAATTTTCAATCTGGCCCCAACTTAAAGAATTTCTTAAAACTCAATTTAGCGAAAGAAAACATTACACACATTTACTCACAGACTTGCGAGTGTAATCAATTAACCAATGAACCCTTCAGCCAATATGCACTTAGAATAGAAACTTTCCTTTCACAATTATTCAGTTCAAGTGGCAGTAGTATTAGAAAAGGTATCTCTCTCTTCGATGAACAAGCGTATCTCTGAGCGTCGAAATAATGCAACCGCAGCGTATGATATTTGAAAATATTCAAATACTTGGAACAGCTTCTATTATAGAAGGCTGAGTAAAAAATGGCATTCCTTTAGTAGACGTTCGTGCCGATTGTTGTTGGTCTGCTAGAGATCATATGGCGATAACTACAAAGCACTTTCTGGAGCAGCAGACATAATAGGAAGAAAATTTGGAGAGGTTCTGTATCTTTGACATTCAACACATTTTGTCTTCAGTCAATTATGAATTTATATTATGAATTAATTTATAGCTTCAATCCGTTAAAAAAGTGTTTTCTTTAAGAGGTTCTGTATGTCGATTTAATAACAAATACTGTTTAGTATGTGTGCGAAAGCAAAAAAAGGAGTATAGGCAAAACAACATGTTTGCTACAAAAACTATGATGGATCAATCCAGGTTAGCAGCAGACGGAGATGCCTCATTTTGATAGCCAATCCGTATCCTAATCAGTGGTACAGAAAATACAACGTCGTAACCACTTGTTACGAAATATGTGTAAAAATTACGTGCTATCACAAAAGATCTGAAATACAGTAAAGACCACAGGAAGCAATTGACGGACCAAAAAAGTATGAGCATGCGAAAGGTGGTAGTTTCAAACTCAGTGATGCATGCTTTTGGAGATCATAAACAATAATTTATAGACTGTACATTAGATTTTGAAGATTTAATAAAATTATAATTGTATGTTGTGTTTCTTAATATTTCAGATGCTGTGAGGACAAAGCAATCCACGATGGCAATGCTTAGCTTATACGAAGCAAATGTACAGATGTTTATGGATGTCGGCAAGAAATCAAGGGCGTGGAAGAAAATATCAGAAGGGTTAAAAGATTTATGTATACCGGTAAAAGTACTTAATATCATTAATGCTGAAGGTGTATTAAACTCTTGATAGTGTGTTGATTAGTCTTCATTATAAATTATAAGCATTAATTTACGGTTGTACAGGTTACAGCAGATCAGGTTAAATGGAAATTTAATCGCTTATATAACAAATATAAGGAGTGTATTGTCAACAACAATAAGAGTGGAAGAGCTCATTTTGAATATTATGAGCAATTCAAAGTAATTTTTCATAAAGAGAAAAACGTTTCCACTCCACGTACACTTTCTTCTTCGATACTTACGACTGATGAAAACAAAAAAAAAACATGACATAACCGGATCAAAGCATATTAGTAAGAGTAAAAAATTTAAAATAGATGATCCACCCAGCGAAAAGAATCTACCACTAGTTGATGAGTCTCCAAAACCGAAAACAACACCGGTTGCAGACGTTACAAAAACTGCAAGAAACCAGCAACAAATTCAAAGTATGGAAATTATAGATAAAGTTCAAGAAAACCAGAAGGCAAGCGATGAAAATATGACAAGATATTTAAAAATGAAAGAGAAAGAAATGGAGTTAAAGAAGAAAGCAATCGATGTTCGTGAAACTGAAATGCAAGTTAAAAGAGATGTTGCTAGTGAAAAACTAAAGTTTAATGAAAAGAAGCACAAAGACTGGTTAAATATAGAAAAATTTACATGTGAGCTTCTAAAAAAACTGTTAAAAAGTCATACTGACAGCGAAGAGTCTGATTGAACTACCATAAACTAATGTTTAAGAGTTTGTTGTACCCAAAAAGTTATTTAGTTATTTTAACATGCCAAAACAAATATTTTATATTATGATCTATGATTAGGAGATCGTCGGAATTAAGAAAAAAATGCTGACTGTTTCGAATTTTTGGTAGAGGGATTAAAAGAAAAATAAAGATCAAAGAATTTAGTAAAAGACGTTTTACATAAATACAATATTTCACATATAACGTCTATGGTATAAAGAATGAGAAAATTGCGTTAGAGCAACTGTCAGCACAAATAATATTGTTATTGAACCCTGTGGACTATTTGTGGATAACAAGTATCCTTTTCTTGGAGTTAGTCCCGATGGACTTATTGGGATGGATGCAATAGTGGAAGTCAAGAGTCCAGTAGCTCCGGGTAAAGTTGGAATGTACGAAGCCATCAAAACAAACAAAACACAAATTTACAAACACAATAAGAAAACGAATCAAACTGTAATAAATAAAAACAGCAATTGGTTTTTCCAAGTTCAAGGCCAGCTTATGATTAGTGGCGGTGAAAAAAGTATTATCGGCATTTGGGGGAGGGAGCTTAATTAGTTTTAAAACAATATTTAGATTTGCCCTACCTAGATAGAAAAAAAAAACCCGCTACAATTTTGGGCTAAGTGTAAACATATTTTTCCTATCCTTCATCGAATGGCCTTCAAGTATTTGTGCATACCGGCTTCCTCTGTCCCTTTTTTCGAAGGCTGGTTTGGCTTAAGCCAAAAAAATTACACCAAATATTATTCTTGAACTCGTACAGTTGCGAGATAGGGAAGTCTTGAATATCTAAATCTCAAGAATTTTGTAAGGCGAAACCAACACTTAAATTTACTGCCATTCGAACATCTAGAAATCTTACCACAGGGCGCCAATACTCAAGACTACATATACAATAAAAAAATATTTTATCGCGGTCCTACTTCCTGATCGTGTACGCTTTGCCTAAATTGATTGTATCCATTATTTCATCATTTTTGTTCCTAATATAAGAAATCAAAATTGCATATTTGCATACTTGCATATTTCACACCAATTGTTTAGTGCGCTAAATGACTGCGTGAGCGACAGCTTGATTTATAAGTGTTGGTTTTGATTAGACTGGTGTATTTATGCGTTATCATGTCGCAAAAAAAGAGAAAAGTGATTTCTATTGACGAAAAATCTCATGTCATATGGTGTTGAATATATTATGTAGTGTATAAAGTTTTGCACGAGTGTATCTAGATGGCGCTAGCTGTTATTTAAAACGCGCTTTCAAAGTATATTGTAAGTTTTATATTGTCAGTTAATATAATATGTAGATTAAATGAGTATTGAGCTATCGAAGAAATTTTTATTCAGTTTACTCGCGGACTCACCAGGGAGCTTGGATAGAATTATTCATATGTAGATAAGAAAATGGCGAGTCGAATAGGGAAATTGCAAAGGAATGTGGAGTTTCGCACTCTACGATATTAACGATTTGGAAGAATAGAGATAAAATAAAAGTTCTTTTCGAAAAAAAACTCTTTAAAACTTAAACGAGCGAGGAAAAGTGAACATAAAGTTATAGAAGATGCTTTATTAACATGGTTTAAACATCAGAGGGCATACAACGTCCCAATAAGTGGTCCGATTCTGCAACAAAAAGCCAATGACTTCGCTCGTCTTATGGGTAAGGAAAATTTTAAGTGATCGTCGTCTTGGGTACGACGTTTTCATGCTTGTCAAAATTTTGTGGCAGGAAAAGTTTGCGGTGAAGCGGCTGGCGTTCCTGAAGGAGTTTCTGAATCTCCTTTTTGTGAGTTTCTGAATCGGGCACTATCATAAGTGGCCTGCACTGAAATCTCCAAAAGATAGACTGTCCAAAGTTTCCTATATTAAAACGAAATTAGAAATGTTAGAAAGTGATTGGAAAATAGTAACTAATAATTATAACAGGATTTTAGAAAATTTTGATAGCACAATTGAAGAAGAAGATTTAAATGTATATGAAGAGTTGGAGGACACATACTTAAAGTATAAACTAAGTTTATTGGATGTGTTGCCCAACCCTGACAATGTTATTGATAATCCTTGTATGAATAATCAGTCTCGTAAAGGTGAATAAAATTTAAGATTACCAAAAATTTGTATTCCTGTATTTTCGGGAAATTATTCAGATTGGCAAACCCTTAAAGACCTATTCGAATCCTTAATCCATAACAACACATCTTTAGACAAAATAGAAAAAAATCATTATTTCAAGGGGCTTCTTACTGGAGAAGCCGAACAGATATTGCGACATGTTACTTTATCTGCAGCGAATTATGATCAGTCCTGGACTTTATTAAACGATAGATTTAACAATAAGAAATATTTGGTGAATTGTTTATTAGATCGGTTATTAAATCAATCAGCTATGTACATGAATCGTGTAAAGCACTAAAGACGCTGTTTGATACTACGAATGATACCTTACAGGGTTTAAATAATTTAGGATTACATACATGTTGAACATTGGGACAACACTACAACAATATTTAAACTATCTAGAAAAACAAGCAATGAGATTGAAACTACTGAGAATAAGGAAAAAGACAAAAAGCAATGATTTGACGAACTTTTAAGTGAACAAATAACACAAAAATTTGCGACAACTACAAGTAGAAAAGAAAAACGTGCAATTACAAATTTAATTGATGGGAAGAAATTCAAACATTTTAAAGTTTCCACATAGCTTCGTAAAGTGTGCCTTAGACAAAGACTCAAGCAAAAAAAATACAAAAAATGAGAGTTTTAATGTCCAAAAATTGGTAGAAAACTTTTATGAAGACGATATAAATAGTCGCATTGCTTCCGGTAAAAAACAATATAAGAAAAGAAATGGAACAGTGAAGCAAATACGATATCTTTTAGATATCGTATAAGAAATATTGAATATAGTTAAGCTTTTACGCGCACTGCTACAGCGCACCATGTTATGTTAGATATAGGTATGTTACGTAGTATGTTAGGTACTTTAAGTTAAACCGGAACAATTATTATATTTAGAACTCCGCGAATACTATAGCGTAATTCGCACTGGGTCATATTTTAGTAATAAAAGAATAGTTATAGTGTTATTATTTCCTATAATATCCCCGAACACTTTTACCCTATTTAAATTATCCATCTTACCAAATCATTACCAACACGTTATTATACCTACCTTTCCTTATATAGCACCAATAACGATAATTATGTGTACATAGAGGCTGAATGCCCGAAGTCAACGAATCAGGTTCTGTCTGTGAAGAGACACTTAATCATCACATAAAACGTTCACCCGACTGCATAGCAGACCCTGTCATCAGCCAACAAGTATCAAATTCCTGCATACCTACCATGTTGACACTCGCCAAGCCTGCCATGGAAAAATTTGACAACCAACATTACTGCGTTGCGTTTTCAAATTTAATTAAAATATTCCTGTCATGTAAACGAAGAGAATATCTGAATCTACAGGGCAGTTACCTTGTAACAATACAGCCGAACTGCACTCTACATACTACGGACACACTCACCATTTCTAACATAAACAACCAATTAAAAGGGGACCAAACCATTTCATGTTAATGAAATGTGCTTCGATATTTTTTTTGTTTGGAAAAGTCTATGCACTCAAATGAACTTTGCAATAATGAAAGATGAAGACAATAATACTGTGAAACTGGATGGACTGAAGATGATAAAAGTTCAAAGCTCTGATCCCGATGCCATATTTTTCAAAGAATCATACGCTGATGAATTATTCAGGAAAGCGGTGGTGAAAAATACTATAGTGGTGAAAAAAAGAGAAATCATAATAGCCAAAGCATTAATTTAGATTTGCACAAGGTCTATTTTAAAAAACCTGGACTAGCAGAGAGAAAAAAAAGCTGATCTCATGGATTTGGTCAATAAAAACCTCATGCCTAGATACCATACAAGCCATTTTACGAATCGTTGTAATAAGACTGATTTAGTACAATTTTTTTTAATTGTATTTTTTAGAAATATTTAATTGCTACATTTAAAATGATAGTGTTTTTATTAGTATTTATTAAGAGAATTTGTGATTCTATGTTTATGAAGGGTGATAGCAATGTTTCTATTTTGAATTTCTAAGTACTATAAAACTGGGTGCCATAATTGTAATTACTATTAGATAACTTTAAGTAAAGTCAAGTTTTGTTTTTTTTTGTATGAAGGTATTTTTTTAGTTACCTTATAATTTTAATTAAAGCGTAAGTACTAAGTACTATGTGATTGATTGATCTCTTGTTGATTATTGTGCCTTAAACTAATTTAATGGTGTAAGCATTATTAATTACCGCAACAATTTTACTGTTTTCCGACACTAAAATTATCAATATTTTAGAATTTATCAACGTTTAAATAGAGATAGAGAGGATAACAAAATCCTGATGAAAGAAATAGCAGGAACGGTAGAAAAGCAGATGGAGAAAATTGGGGAAAGAGACAGGAAGATCGAGCAGAAAGTAGAAGCTACAAATGCCAGTGTAATAGCTGCAGGAAACAAAAAGGAGCAAAAGATAGAAGCAGTAGGACGAGAAAGTATTGCACTCGATGATCATCTCTCCAACAAATGATCAAGAGTCGAGCGACCGGATGCTGAACAGAATAAGAGAGGTAGTGAATGCCAAAGAAGGAGGCATAAAAATAGATCGAGTTTCGAAAGATTAAAGACGGCAAAGTAGTCTTCGGCTGCAGAAGCATCGAAGAAAAGAACAAGATTAAGAAAAGGCTGGAAGGAAAGAGAGAACACCTGTTGAGCTACAACACTGAAGAAAATATTAAGCAGTCCATACGAACGCAAAACATCAACAGAACAACAACAGAACAGATCAGAACCAGACCCAGAATGCTGAAACTCAAGGGCAACAAGGAATTCATCATTCATCCATCCGCAACATTTTCCCTCAACGTCCTCAAATAGTTGCAGATCTGCGGGAGGAGGAGTTATGAGCCAGCCCTGCACCTAACAATATACAATTTCTGCTGA